TTTAACAATTTATTTCTTTGTTTTAACATTAAGAATTATGTGCAAAAATTGTTTAAGTTTCTTCCGTATATAAATTATTTTTGTTTTTATCGTAAGAAGAGGAAAGCGAGATCAAAAGAAACTTTTAAAAAAAGATTAAGATTAATCGAAGGCTAATCGATCGTGAAAATTATTCGTTTCGGCAAGGACGCACGCGAGATTCTAATATGATATAGCAAAACGTCATCCGCGCTGATGACGTTCGCTCGCGACCTCGATTTTCGCGAACGTCTGTCTATTTTTCATCGCGGAATTTCCCCGACACGACGACTCGCGAACCACCTTGATGATTCTCTTATTGCGACTTTTGTGCGATCTCTTTAATTCGAGCTACGCGCCGTAAACACGTGCGTCTTTCGTGCGAACGCGAGCGCGAAATAAAGTAAATAAAGAAATCTGCTCTCGCGCGCAAACAAAGTTTGCGATCCGCGAACGAGAGTTCAATGCATTCTCATTTCCGGTCTTTTAGACCTCGCAGCATCTATTTCATTTCCTCTCAATAAAAGTTCTTGAAAAAATTTATATATATATATATATATATATATATATATATAAATCAATTTTAATTCACAAAATGTACAGGTATATATTTAGCAGAGTTATAATAACTATAGTTATTATAACTATAATAACTATAGTTAATTATAATTAAAAGTTAAAAAAGTTTAAAAATTAATAACTTTTAATTTAGCTTAATTTAATTTTAAATGTATTAGTTTTTAACTAATTATTTGTGACCTTAAACTTATTAACTTTTTTCCTAAGTTAAATTGTTTTTATCTCTGAATACTATATTATTTATTTTTTATAAGTTATCAGGGTGTCTAGCGAAACAAGGTTAAGAAATTCAAAGACATTTCCAGGATTTCCAGGACAAAAAAGTATTTTTTTCCAGGAATTTTTTTATTAATTAAAAGCATATGAAAGTTGATTAGAAACAAAAACATAAATTATATATATATATATATATATATATTCTCTTTTTATTTAAGATTTAATTAAATAATTAAATTAACTTAAACTTTGGTACTTTTGTACACCCGCCTTTTGGCAACTTTGAACTGAGTATCATCGCGCGCATATGCTTTGTCTTTGGCGCGTACATCGTCTCATAGACATCTCTATCAATATTATGAACGTCTACCAAAAGAAAGGGTACAAATCGCGATTGAGATTAAGAGAAAAGTATAGATATCTGCATTGAAAATTCCTGTAAAAATATTTTTATACAAACATTAACATTTTCAAGGATAAGTAAGAAAAATTCAGGATATAATGAAAAAAATACACATTATTCCAGGATTTTCAGGACATAAAAAAAAATCAAGGACAATTCCAGGATTTTAAGGATTTCCAAGACCGCTCGACACCCTGGTTATAAACGTAATATTTTTAAATTAAAGTATTATTAATTTTTATGTTTATTTGTCATCAATTAATTTAATTGTAACTTAACTTTAACTGAATTAATTTTTTGTTTATGCAACTTTTAATTTATCTAAATTAATTTTATAAGCAACTAATTTTAACTTACCTTATAGTTTAAAAAAATTATTAACTTATCCAATCCTGATATTTAGTATAGAAAATATATTGTTTAGTGTGAAAAGTTAAAAACAAGACTTGAAAATTCTGGTTTTAATGTAACTGCGTACATGAAGAGAGAATAAAATAATAAATTTATAAATATTTAGTTAATGCTAAAAATAACTTTAAAAATCTTTCATAGAAGAATAGACTAGTTTTCGACTTTTTTTGATAAATCTTGGAAACTTTCAAGATAGCAAAAAATGTTTCATACAAAATGTTCACAGTAAAAACATCTTCAATTATAATTATATTAATAAAATTAAAAAAAATTTTTTTTCAAAAATTATTTCTAAATTTTTTAAAAATTTATTGATTTAAAGAGTAATTTTTTAATTTTAAATCATTTTTAACATTAAAAATTATGATAATTAAACATTTCTAAACTCATTCATTTATACCTCCTATATGTATGAAAAATTGTATTAAAATCAGAATTATTTAGTTAATAAGTTAATTATATTAATTGAATAAACATTAATTAATTAATAAAACTTAATCAAATAATAAATTAATAAGTTAATAAAATAATTAATAAAAATAAATAAGAAATAAATAAAAATTTATGAATTAATTAATAATGATACTTAAATGTATTTAGAGCATAATATAATAAGAGGTATTGTAAATAGTTGCAAGATGCTTGTTTAACAATCTATATATATATATATATATATTCACCTATATCCACTTTATATATAATAACAATGAGCGACAATACATCAGTTTGCATACGCGATACGCACAATATCTTAAAATTACAACCACATAGAAATGCTTATGGATGGATTTCGCTATATAATAATGTATATATGTATAATACGAAGCTACTTCGTCAAAATTCATAAAAGTTCTGATCGTCGAGATATATCGCCGATGTAGGCTAAAGCAGTAAAATTCTTTGATTATAGGTTCAACAGTCAGAAGAATTTATATATATATTCACATTTTTGCATTTGGCAGTTAGAAGTGATTATCCGACCGCCTTCGACGGACTTAATTAATTAAGTCGAAGGCATTTTAGGCAAATCGAGAAATCGAATGACCACCTCTAACATTAATTAATAAATAAAGCACTAAAAATCTTTTCAGCTTCCTCAGCATCCTATACAACCATACGTTTCCATTTACCTCTTTAATGCGCGAACATATATATAGTTTATAATATCATTTGGTACGCGGTTTATTCCAATTCAAGGATATGTTTGTAGAGTTCGTGTGATTTAAGTCATTTGGCACCGTTCGCGAAATTAAATAAAATATACTGAGAAATGTCAAAAGTTATGGCATCCAATTTCTCATTTTCTTTCTGGTATAATCACAATTTGAGAATTATTATTTGTAATATACATATATATTTATTCCGATATTAATATATGTATATATTTTATATATAAATAGACATAATAAATAATAAAATGTTTCGTAAATTAAAATGCAGAAAATAATTCACAAATTATCGCACAAATTTTGGGGCGATGCATCATTGAACTATCTGATATCCATTTTTATAATCGTGACCGATCAATATTTTGATCTACAGATCGTTTGATAAATTTGCATATATTATAATAATGTATTTCTTACATTTATATTCACGAATCTAATATGTATTGAAATTATTATTAATTTCTTTTATTATGTTAGAAATTGCACCGTGCTTAAAGTAAACTTTTTTTAGACGATTGATTCTTTCGCAAACGACATTTATTATGTGGGTACGTGTGTGTGTTGTGTGTGTATACGTATAATAATATAATAATATAATAATATATTAATCTTAACGCGAGTTTGGTGTTTTCTCTTGGTGAACAATACCTCATATCTCTGAGTATTGTTTATTCAGCTACGTATGCAATGCAAATTGCAACACAAGGATTAATTACTAGAAGCCTTTACGTACACGAGATTGTATTTATTCAAATAATATATATATATATATACATATACAGGGTGATTTATTTTGATCGCCCAAGGCAATATTTTGAAAATTATAAGAAATACGAAAAAATGTGTCCAACTAAAGTTTTTTACTTCGAGGGGGACATAAAATGGTGTCATTGGTTTAATCTTGTATAATTATTTGAAGGTCACGTAAAAATCACCTTCAATTTCTTAAATGGAATCTATTTTTTATTGCATATTCTTGTAGATGTAGCTTATCTCGAGAGCTTTTGTTTGAAACATTTTTCGTGTCCCTCAGAGTTTTCGAAATATTTGCCTGGAGCGATTAAAATAAATCACCCTGTATATGTATATATATATATATATATTTTTAAATTTAGATATATATATATATGCGTAACACACATAGGCAGAAGTTCGTTTAATTCTGCAAAGCGCGAAAGTGTTACGCGTGAAAGTCGAATTGCAATTATTAATGTTAAATTTTGTACATGAAATATATATATAGAAAATAATATAATATCTCTTTATTTAAAATTTTAAGAGAAGATCTGTTCCCGTGTCGATTTTATCCGATTTGTCGTCAAAAATTGGCTATCAATGCACACTTGACCGAATAAATCGATGATTATATTTCCTTATCACGTATTCTCTTATCTCTCTCATTTAAATAGCGGTAAAATTCGATTAATATATATTGACTGAACGTATTTTGGAACAGCTATGGCGTAAATATTTAAACTTCTTCGTACAATGTGACATTACATGTTTAATAAATGTTACATAAGTATCCGAAAGTTTGGAAAATAATGTATCGTTACGTAATGTTGTAATAATACTACTAATATACGTATTCTTCTAAAATATTGTACTATTGTAAATATATAGTAAAAAGAGAAGGGAAAAGAGAGTATATACGTACAAGATACAAGATTTGTGATCCGGAATTTTGCATCAATGGAATGTTATCTATACTGTTGGATCGTTTTCTTTGTTCCCTATAATTCTGTGCATATGATACAAATATCTCTCTGTGCAATGTGTCTCAAACAGTCTGGTAACAGTATAACAAATGTAATATTAAAAATGACATCAACATCATTCAAAAATCGATGCATCGTCGTGTTTATACGTTATCTAGTCATTACAGCAGAGAAAGAAAATGCGAAATCACAATATTATTTCATTATCAAGAATACCGCTACATTTTTTTCTCTACTCGCGGGAAATTTCTTCTTCCCTTTAGGCTCCTGGATCCTCGCCGCGACCATGTTAGATTGTGACGTGAGAAAGCACGCGTTGAAAATTCGCTGAAACACTACTTTAGATGGCTTTATCACGCTTTTAAAATACCTCAAAAACTATTCTTCTCCTTTCACAGTCAATTAACAATTACTTTATATATTATATTTTACAGTTGTTGATTGATTATAAAGGAAAAAGGATTTTTTTATTTCAAAATGGCATCTAAGAACTTTTAGCGTGTGTTTTCTCGCCTCTGACGTCACAATTCCAACATGGTCGGGGAGGTGCCAGGAATCTTAAAGCTGCCGAACGTGTTCTTCTTGTTAAGACTCCTTGCCGGTCTCCGGTCGGTCTATCGCCTCCTGCGCGTGTTGCAAGCCGGCACAGTAATGCAGAAGCAGCACGCTCAACGCCTGCACTCGCAGATCGCTCTGCGCGATCAGTTTCATGCTGTCTGCATTATGGGACAGCTCTAATCTCGAGGTAGTTTCGGCGTCCAACGCATTCTTCAATTTGCCCATCTGTGAGAGATGCACATCGTCGAGTTATTAATGTTAAAATAATCTTGAAAGTTTGAGAGTTCTTCTGATTATCCAAATCCCTCAGTCAAGGATTCTCTGAATTCTTCAATTCTGAATTCAATAATCCTAATCATGGATTCTAGACCTAAAGAATGAACCATTCGCGAATACTCGATCCATCTTAACATTATTTGTTTGAGAGTTCTTGATTTTCTGAATAGGTATTTTAATGGACAAATCCTTGAATTCTTGGCTTCTTCAATTCTGAATTAAACAATCCATGAATTTCTCTAGACGCGGATGCTCGAGTCCATCTTAAGGGGATGCTGCAAATATGTTTTTACCGACCGAATGCGAATATTTAGTTTTCTTTATATATCTTTTTATTGACTATACTGATCAATAAATCCTTTTCCACGATTAAAATAGTTATAAAAACGGACCGAGCGAGCTATGATTGCATATATAAATGATATAAAAATCAAAAATTACAGTTTTGGTATTGACTTCTTTTGTGTCAGTTCGTAACAATACTTATTTAATAAATAAGTTTTGCAGTTCTTGATTTTCTGAATAGGTATTTTAATGGACAAATCCTTGAATTCTTGGCTTCTTCAATTCTGAATTAAGCAATCCATGAATTTCTCTAGACGCGAATGCTCGAGTCCATCTTAAAGGGATGCTGCAAATATGTTTTTACCGACCGAATGCGAATATTTAGTTTTTTTTATATATCTTTTTATTGATTATACTGATCAATCAATCTTTTTCCACGATTAAAATAGTTATAAAAACGGACCGAGCTAGCTATGATTGCATATATAAATGATATAAAAATCAACAATTACAGTTTTGGTATTGACTTCTTTTGTGTCAGTTCGTAACAATACTTATTTAATAAATAAGTTTTGCAGTTTGTCTGTGCATAAAATATAGTATACGCGGTAAGAATAATATGAAGAAATATTAGTAAACACTTAAAAGTGAGATTGTAAGTCTAATAAAAAAGTTATATATTAAAAACGTTTTCACGCATATGTGTTGTATACGTACATATATTTAGATATGTGTGATGCTAACCTATCGGAGTTCGGTCGTCACTCCAGCATCCCCTTAACACTACTTATAAAAGAAGTTTGATTCGCTTACCATGAAATTGATCTTTTCGACGCGTTCCTGCGGCTCCAGGTGCTTGTACAAGAACTTGCCGGTATCCCTGGCTCTTGACATAAGACCGTCGTCCAGATCGCCGGCCACAAGTGGAGCTGCAACACTTGGCTCAGCACCCTCCAAGAGGTCAGGACTTATTCCCAGACCTCCAGCCAATGAGCTCTAAACGTTTCAACAATTCGATCGAAAAATCGATTAATGCGGCGCGATCTATACATAGATATCCTTTTGCTCCCGATGTTATTTTGCTCCCGATGTGTTATTCAAAAAGTGAGAAACATGATCAAGCGATCCGAACCGATGATGCGCAAATGATCTTCATCTACATCTATATATAATGCTTGCTGCTTCCAATGTTAAAGTGCAATTGCAATGCAATGCAGTGCTCATGATGCATTGTGTTTCGGCGAAAATCTTCATCAGTGTGAAAAAAATTGGGCAAGCGAGAAAAATCAATTCAGAATCAGCGGACATCTCTATTTAAGGCTCCTCGCCGACCATGTTGGAATTGTGACGTCACACTTGCTGATCTCTGACGTCACAATCTGACATAGCCGCGGCAAGGACTAGAGTCTAGATACATCATAATTTTTTTAATTCGTGTAATGATTAATTAGATGGAAATTATCTGAAATTCTAAGTCATATTCTACGCACAGTTATCAATTGTTATTACCATGTTGCGTTCTTGCGTGCAAGTTAACGAGTATCTTCAATGGCGAATTTAAGGCATATAACTGAGAAACATGAAGGAATTATTGAAGTAAAGTAAAAGAGGTATAAGCATGGGAATTGCAAGTACATTAAGTATTTTCTGAAAAATATGCCCTTTCTTTTTTTATATGCCTTTTGAGTAGGTGTAGTGGAAGAAAATCAAGCGGAGAAGGTTTCATTTGCGCTCTAATAAAAAATCTTTAATTATTTTCATCAAATAAAATCGCACGTATTAATTTATTGCTAGAATATTTTGTTGCAAATTATTAGCTGAATATAATTTAAAAAAAAATACAAAATATTCCTCAAGAAGTCAATTACAAAAAAAATTATTAACATATTTTTAATTAAAAATAATAATTATTATTTAATTAGAGAATAATTTATAAACAGATTGTAATATATATATTCTCGTATATTTTATTCATATATTAAAATTTTGGTTATTATAAAAATACGTGTCAGAGAGAAAAATTTCTTTTTTCCAAAAATCGACAAAAATCAAGCGCACACGATCCCTCCCCGCTTTGGACGGAGACAACAAATGCGTGTTATTATTCTACCTTGCGGGATGCACAGGGACTTGGGGAAGACTTCGAGATGCCAGACCAGTACTGGAAGCCGGTGGGGCCAGACAACTGGTACTTCCGGCCTTCTTCAGGCCCAACAGAGTGTTAGCTATACTAGCCTTCACGGCCATCATACTTGCGCCCTGATTAATCGACCAATGGATTTTAAATAGATTAATACCTTTTACATATCACATTGAAAATTTTATAATTTTAATTATTAATTAATATAATAAATTTAATTATAATATAATTAAATAATTATTAATGTAATAAATTTAATTATAATATAATTAAATAATTATTAATATAATAAATTTAATTATAATATAATCAATTAATTATTAATTAATATAATAATTTTAATTAATTAGTTTTCATAAAACAATCGAAATGGTCGCGCTATTTTATTGTTTCATCGATAAAGTATAGAATCTGGATGTCGTGTGCAAAAATTATTACTGTCATTTATTTTAAATATTATTTAGAAATACAAGCACATACCCTATTAAAATGGAAAAAAATTATAATAAATATATATGAAGATAACTTTCAAATTGAAAAATCTAGATTGTATACTTCACCGAGATAACAGAGGCGTTTTTGTTTAATTGTATGTAATAATTGTCTACTTGTATGTAATAAATGGTATATGTTCTAAAAAACCAAGGCAAGGTCAAGGTGCAAGCTTGTACAAAAAAAACCTTCACCTCCCCGACGTGCGTATGTTCAATTCGTTTTATTGCCAACAACAGGATGTGAGTCACGCTTAACAATCTCTGCAATCTTTCTATGTACAAAATACGAAGGTAGATGTGTTTTCTCGAGATGCGCGAGTGAGAGATTTTTCGTACAATCCTTTAATCACACGATATGTGATACGTCAAGCGCTTCTACATTTCACCGATATGTAATAATGGTAATTATTTGTGAATTCTTTCAGTGCTAAAATGATGTGTCATCGAGATCAATGTTGTACAAAAGATTGACCTTTAACTCTGTGTATAAAAACAATAAATAAATAAAAATAGTATATAAATTAAATGTAAAATGTGTAAAATGAGAATTTAAATTAATTATATAAACATATATATATATATATATATATATATAAAATAAATAATTTTACATAAATATAATAATAATATAACTATAGTATTATTTATAAAGTATACTTCATTACTTATAATATATATATATATATATATATATATATATATATATATATGTATGTATAAATAATGAAATATTACCTATATTTCATTATTTATAAAATATACATAAATATATTTTTTAAATACCTTTTTCATTTATATTAATAAAATGTAGATGATGCAAACTGACAATATTTAAATTATAATACAAGAAAAACGAAATATAATTTCTAAAAAATGACAATAAGTCATGATAGTGGAGAATTTGCAAAAATAGTTGATGATTAAATCGATTATATGTTTATATTAAAATTAATATTAATATTGCAGTTAAATAAATGCAAAAAAAACACGTAGCATATATAAATAATTAATATAAATATATAAAATAATAATTTAGTTATCACACTTTTTGCAAAATTCGACTAGAAGGTAAATCATATATTTTTCTTTAAAAAAATATTTATCAATATTAAAAAAAGTAATAAAATATATATATAAATATTTAAAAAATTTAATAAAATAAATTCTCTCTAAAAAAATTAAACGAGTCTTCGAGATATTAAGGTTTTCAGAGAAAAAGGAGCGCTAATACTATAACTGCTACTTTATAATAAAAATATTAGTATTAATTTTAAAACATTGTACTATGCAATAAAATAATTCTGAAAATATAAGTGCACACAAACCAACAAACAAACACACATTCACGCATACTCACACGCATGTTTCTTTTCATTTACACATTGTTAGATAAATATGAATCCGATTTTCCTTAACAAATCTTTGTCAAAATTATGTGTCGATTGTGTGTTTAAAGATATTTTTAGTATGAAGGATCAAGAGCGCGTTCTTTCCTCTCGATCGGAATCTGCCGGTGACCTAAAAGTCCTAGCAGAGAGATTCAAAATCGATGCCGATTATATTTTCGCGAATGGCAAAACGCCTTATAAGGTTCTACGTCTTGAGTACCTGCACGTTATCTTCGCATCCGGTGAGCGAGATCTCCGGGTTCGAGATATCCCCGAGGGAGTTGGACTCGAGCTCGTCCGCCTCCATCGCCAGGGTTGCCAGGCTCTCGGCGCCACAAGTGCTGGACACCTGGCAGCGCGTTTCGCACTTCTTGTGGCAAACCATGCCGCAGTCCCGACACTGCACCGCGTCCTTCAGCCAAATCTGCACAGAAGAATCTCCAAAATAAGAGGAAAATAAAATAAAATAAATATAATATATATAAATAATAAAATAAACAATATAAATAATAAAATAAATATAAATATAAATAATAATTATTGTGATAGATTCTACTATAGATAAATATATATAGTGTCTCATTATTCCTAAATCTGAATTATTTCCTGATGTGCTCGTGAAAACTAGCTTGCAGCATTCAAAGAAACACTTGTCTGATTTAAAATAATTAAAACAAAAAATATTGTTTTGTAAACTATTATAGATATCTTCTGCATTATGCGCCTGATTTTATATAAACCTCTATTTTCGACAAGTTACAATACATTATCGATTGACATATTTTTTTCTAAAAGCCGGGTACCTTTTTCGTACAGAAATCGCAGTGCGTAGCTCTATGAAAGTGCGTCCTGATAAAGTCGTGCATTTTTTTATCGGCGACTTCGTCGCTCGAAGTCGGTTGTATTTTGGCAGTTTCCGCATTATCCTTCTTCCCGGAATCGCTGATCGTGTGATTGCTCGGCCGACAGGATTCCCACACGTATGACAGCAGGATATCGCCGTAACACAGCGTTGGATCAAATCCCGAATATCCCTGGAGTTTTATGTAGGATGCCGCTAACGAAGCTTTAAAAGAAAATTCTGATTAATTCTTTAAATTAATTTTTTTAAACTTTAACTTAATTCTTTTAACTTCAATATACAAAAAATACAGGGTTGGGAAGTAACGAGTTACTTGTAACAAAGTTACAGTTACAGTTACTTTTTTTCGGTAACTATAACTTAACTTCGTTACTTTTCTCCATCTGTAACTGTAACTTGGTTACATTTTTTTTAGTAACTAGTAACCATTTTAACAGTTACTTTATTAGTTACTTTTTTTGGAAACATGCGCTAAAAGCATCGTTCAAATATGGTAGCCGAGCCGTTATTAAATTTTGATAACACATGGATCTTCATATGATTTAATCTTTTACCTAAAATTCTCATTTAGTGTACATAAAATAATATAATACATAATTAAGATCGATCAATCACAGTCAAGTATTTAAAAAAATTCTGAAATGTAATAATTGGTCGATTTGCTTGTGACTTTGCGATTACCATTTAGTAAGTTACTAACTATTGTTACTGTTATATATAAAGGTCATTCATACATTGATGGTAATCGCAAAGTCGCAAGCAAATTGATCAATTATTACATTCAAGAATATTTTTAAATATTTGACCGTGATTGTGCATAAAATGTGGGCTCCTTATATTTAAAATAATGTATAATTATTTTTAAAAAGTAACTGAAAAATAACGACTCGTTACTTTTTGAATGTAACTGTAACGAGTTATTTTTTAAAATCGGTAACTTATAACTGTAACTAGTTACTTTTTCAATGAAATAACTGTAACTAGTTATTTTTACAAAGTAACTTTCCCAACCCTGAAAAAATATAAGTAACCTTAGATTAATCCTTAATTAATTTAATTTATAAATCGCCTATTTTCTCCATATGTAAATTCGAGATTAATTTAAATATGAAACTTAGTAATCTCAAATCAAGAGATACAGTTCCGAAGAATTAATTTTTCGCACTTGAGCTCTATGCCGATTTAAAATATCATATATTATTCTTAATATTGGGAGCCGATAAAAATATTTCTCATTTGATTTAATTTATATATTTATTTTATAAAATAATTTTAATCATTTAAATATGATGTTTTTTAAATCGGCCAACAGAGACAAAGCACGAAAAATTAATTATTCGGAACTGTATCTCTTGGTTTGAGATCACTAAGTTTCCATATATAAATTAATCTCGAAACTTACATATGGAGAAATAGGCGCGAAAAATATAGGTCCGAAAAGTCGCTGAAGCGGGAATCAAACTCGCGTCTTTCACTTTCCGGGCGACTGCTCTTACCACTAAGCTATTCAGACCCTTTCGATCCTATATTTTTCATTTGCCTTTTAGTAGATGTTAGTAAATAACGCCGTTTCTTTCTGATTTAATAATTTAATTAACTTATTATATATTATTTATATTATATTGTTATTATATTTATTTTATTTGTTTATTTAATTTATTTTAATAATTTTAATTATTTTATTTTATTTATTTTATGATATAAAATGTAAAAATTAATTTTTTTTTAAATCTAGATAAATCCTTCCATATTAATTACTAAATTTCTTTTAAGAAGACTTATAAAAACTATTGTTTATCACTAAATATTGATTAGAAAATGAATTTTAACTTATAAATGTATATAAAATTAATTGGAGATATAATTTAAGAAAAAGAATATATTCTATAGAGAATCTCACCACTTTCTGGCGGCAATAAGGCATGACATTTCAGGTAATGCCCGGTCGTGGAAGTGCAGCACTGGGCCAGAATCAATTTAATCGGCGCGTTGATGTAGCCTAATAATTTCGGTGGCGTCTCGCTTCCCCTCGCGCGACCCCACACGCCCACGTTCAAGTACTGCAATTCGGAGTCGACCCGAAAGCTCTTGGTCTCGTCGAAGGCGATTAGAGAAGCGTACGGCTTCTCCTTGGTGTTGTAGCAGAGATCGACGACGCTGGTCGCGCTACTCTCGTCCGGCAGGTAGAACTGAACGTTGCTGGACGACGCCGACGACGTGGAGATCAAGGAGATCCGTCGGGACGGCGTCGTGTCGGGCGTCTGCGCGATCTCCTCCGTCTGTATGCTGCTCTTTCGTCTCTTGAACAGCCTGCTGTTGTCCGATCGAGGATCCGTGAGATCGTTGTCAGAGTCCCGGAGGTCGGAGAACTTGATCTGCGTCTCGAACTTTATCTTTCCGGCGTCCTCCGCGCACGGGCTATCCATTCTGCCTACGGAATCGCTCTTCGACGCCTTTCGCTCGGCAAAGGATGTTTTGTCGCCGTCCATCCGCTGCCTTTCCGAGTCCGCCTTCGAGTGCCGCCTCTCTACTCGGATAATGAAGCGCCGCTGCACGGCGGTCTTGACGAACTTGGCCACTTGGTTCATGCTCGATACCTTTTTGCCGTCTACCGCCACCAGGATATCGCCTTTCTTCATCTCGGCGATTGCCGCCGGACTGCCGGACACTATCGTCTCCACCAGAACGCACATCTGACCGATCTCCGGCACCACTTCCTGCTTAAACACCACACCCAACTGTTGAGAGCCCGTCTTGCTGATGATCAGGTCCAGGACCATGTATGGAACGCCGCTGTACTGCGTCAAGTATACCCAGGGCATGGAGTCCACGCTCATGGTGCAGTATACCTCCACCTGCGACATGTCCTCATTGATGGTGGAAGCGATAGGCGCGAGGTTTAGTCTGCTGATCTCTAACAATACAACCTCTAAATAGCCTGGAGTGAGTTGGGTACTGGCGACCTGGAAAAAATTGAAGATATTAAGTACATGTGTGAAAATATAAAGCACATATGAAGATATAAAGTATATATGTAAAAATATGAAATGTATAAAGATATTAATATATATGAGGATATATATGAAGATATATAAAAATATTAAGATATGTGAAGATGTATATAGTACGTATGTGAAGATATATAAAGATATTAATACATATGAAGATATATTATTAATATAATATATATAAAAATATACAGTACATATGTGTAGATATCAAATTCAAATGTGAAGTAAATATATGTGAAAAATACATATATAAAGATATAAAAAGCTATATGAAGATATAACGTTCATATGTGAAGATGTGAAATATATAATGTAATAATATATAAAATTTACATACATATATGAATATATATGAAAATATGTTAAGATATATGAAGATATAAAAAAATAAATATATATGAAGATATATACAGTACATATGTGCAAATATGAAGATAAAATTCATATGAGAAGATATAAAGTAGATATGTGAAGATATGAAATGTATATATATATGAAGATATTAATAAAAATATTAAGATAGTATATGAAGATAAATAAAGATATTAATATATATGAAGATACGCAGTACATTTGAAAATAAAAGGTACATAGGTGAAGATATAAAATAAATATTGTGCGAAACCAAAATTAAAGCATTATATTAACGCAACAATGAGAAATTAAAATTACAAAAATTCGAATAAACTGAAGCTGAATAAATAAAAGAAACGATTCTTACCTCCGAGAGATCGACAGCCTCGTCGTTCAATCTTCGGAAGAATGGCTTATAACGCATTTTATAACGAGGTAGAGTGTGCTTTCGCTTCACCGCTCTCCTAATCTGACTGGTAATGATCGAGATTATTTGCGGCTGTAATTGACGGCCTTGGAACTGCGACTGCACTTCCAGTTCCAAGATCGGATCCGAGTAGAAACTCAGTGACCAGTGTGTATACGGTACACGAGTAAACTGCAGCCTAGCTTTACCGCTGATACGTTTTACTGCAAAAATCGACAATAATAAATTTATATAATAATTATATAAATTAATATAACAATTATATATCTCCTATTTTTCTTATTTTTATTCTTCAAACGCGTAATAATACCTTGTAATGCCATGTAAGCTGTTTTACCGAGCAGCATCTTAACATCTATAGACAATTGAAAGTTTCCTGAGTAATGTAAATCTAAGGCCAAGTCCAGAGATTCCAGCAGACCCGTGTCGGCGTCGATCTTCGAGTCGGCGACTTCCAAGCCCTTTATCGTCGGAAATTGCGTGCCGAGATTCAAGTCTCTCAACTGCAAGAAGAGTTTATTAAAGACACCATTTGCTTGGTCATTTACAATTTACAAAATCGAAATTAAACACTTCCAATCTTACCTTCACGCTATCCAACAGCTTGGCGGTCGTCGACTGTGTCAACAGCTCCTTGAACTCGTTGTTCAACTTCCTGTAGAGCCACAAACGCACTCGTTCGGCATTTCGCAGCTCGTTGAAGAGAAACTGCAGTGTAAGGTTTATAGCTAGATTCTCATTGCCCTGAGACATCGCCTGACGGGACATGCTGTTGTTGCTGTTCGCCCGTTCTTCCTGCAGCTGCTCCACCAGCTCCTTAGGTAACTGCGCCTTGCCATGCTGTAGCTGCCTCTGTGGCGGAGTGGCCTGAGGTCCCGAATCCAGATACCTCTTGAACAGGTAAAACTGCAGAGCCAAGGTACATATTACACCGCAGATGAATGTAACGACAGCCACCAGAAGCAGTTGCAGACTGTCCATATTAGATTCACTGCCGTCGAGAGTATTCTTCTCTCCTCTCTCTCCTACAGTGAATGTTAAGTGTGGCACTTATTACAGAGTATTGCGTAAGGAACGTTGCACTTATGAAAGAGAGTTTTCAATGTCCATATTAGAGATGTAATTGTCCAAGAGACGATCCTTCCTCTTCATGAATAAGATTCTTTCAAACAAGCATACTTTGATAGATGTCAAACATCCAATCCCTCTTTCCTGAGCATCAGTAAACTCTGAAATAGGCTGTGGGAGCAATTGTGCAAAAAATATTGTTAAAGTGTATGTCCGAGGGAAGAAATCTGAGAGCTGTAATCAGAAAGAGACATAAATAGCATAACATTTTTGTCAAAATAAAAAAAATATTTATTATATAAAAAAAAATTTTTTTTTTTTTAAATTGCAGCATAGAAATTTATTGTTATTACTTTTACTCATACAAAAAAAATTGTATATTATTATTATTTCAATAATATTCTGAATTATTATTTTTATCAATAATATTAATTATTATTATTATTAATTAAAAAGGGAGATCTGCGAAGTAAAATTCGCTTTCATTACAGAACAAAAAGAAAAAAAACTCGCAAAGAAAATCTCTTGTTCTGGAAAAAAAAAATGTACTTCTATCGCGTCTATTTCGCACAATTTCCAGCTATTTACATTAGGAACTGTCGATGCGGCCGACCTCCTCGGACCCGGCGCATCGCGTCGACTCTCAGCCCCGCGTCCTCGCAGCTCGACGGCTATCCGGAACACTTTCACCCATCGTCGTCGTCCGCGCTCGATCAGCTGAACAGTGGTATATCTTCAGGTGCGCGCGCAGAAGCAACGATTCCTCGGCGTTGATGTGGAACGGCACATTCACATTCACGGGCGACGGTCGCGAGGTCACGTCCCGTGGGGGAGACGCGGGATAAATTCAATTCCCCGCATCGCTCGTCTATCGATCTCCCCGCCTGGCGGCCATCTTCGAGCGCCGCGAGAACAGCTGTCAGCTGTCAAACTCCTGCCAGCTGTCAAACAGATAGAATCGCCCTCGTCGCGGACGAGCGGTTCGAAAAAGTTTTTCCTTTGTAATTATAATTATCTCTCGCATTTGTCAATTTGAATTACAAAACGTGATTTCGATTTAAAAAGCAAAGAAATTCGAATTAAATTCAAAGATACATATTTTGCAGGAAGATTATTATAAATAGTTATTAAAGTTATTTAAGTTTCAATGATTGTGGGAATTTATGTAAATCAAATTATATGTAAAGGTTGTCGGGTAATAAGTATAGTTAATTATAGTTAAAAGTTAAAAAAGTTAATAACTTTTAAATTAGCTTAGTTAATTTAAAATATATTAATTTTGAACTTTAACTATATATATAGTATATATATAGTTATTATTTTGACTTTTATTAACTTTTTTTCCTAAGTTAAGTTGTTTTTATCTCTAAAATACCATATATTTCTTTATAAATAATTAACTATATAATTAAACGTATTATTTTTAAATTATAAAATAAAGTATTATTAATTTTTATGTTTATTTATTATCAATTATAATGGCCAAAAAATTATGTATTATATAGATGCAATGTGGTAATATTTAAAAAAATTTGATCGCAAAAGTATCTATAACTTTAAATGTGAAGATATATATTCTTGCTGTCAAATTTAATAATTTCTAAAAATTTATATAAATTTATATACGAATAAAGATATTGTAAAAATTTTATTAGATATATAAAAATATATAAATATCAATAAATATATAAATAATAAAATAAGTGCGATATTTTTATTTAGAATTATCACATTGGCGAAAAGAAGAAAATCTAAAAAATAAAATCTTTTACACTTGATTATAACTATAAATTCGCATAAAAAAATTTATAATTTTATTAAATTTTCTCGATGTAAAAAATTTAAAACTATACAAAAAAATAGAAATATAAATTATAAAAAAATTTATATAATATTATATAAATATATATAGTTTTTAAATATTTATATTATACATATATATATAAAATATGTATATATATTTATAATTAAAGTAAATATATTTAAATTACAAATACATTTTTAATTGTACATATACATATTACATATTTATTAAAAAAATTAATAAATAAAAAAACGTGTGTAAATATATCTTCGAAACGTCATAAAATAATATTGCCCCTCGAAATAGCCAATGAAATTCGAACGTGACGTCACTCTGCCGCGATCCTGCGCTGTCAACCTCGGGACATCAAAATTCCCCGGTTCTGGTGGAATAACAACAACAATAATAACAAAAACGGCACAACGAAATATCTCTAGCGCGACAACTTCGTCTCGTCAACTCCTCGACTGTCAACGGGGGTTTCGAAAATGCGGGAGATGCACGTCGACTCGGCGTTCCTCTCCTTCGAGTGATATCCGACCCGGTTTGCGGAAGAGTCGCGGAATCATGTGGCCGATGCGGTTGGAGATGACTCGGGACGAATGCAGGAAGTGCTTGCGATGCCTCGGTAAGGTTATGATTGCTCGGAGAAAAAATAGCTTCGCTTCCCGAATTTTTTATTTCGCGACGAAAAAATTCGCCGACCCATGTTTCGATAGAAAAACGGCAAATTAATTTAGAATTATTTTACTCCATTATTTCGCAGCCTCCGGTCTTCGGGAACACCTTGAAAATTCTGCACTTTATTAACCCCGTGGATTTCTTGCCACAAAAATGCCGAATTTTTGGATTTCTCGCGTCGAATTAATTCGCATTTTTCTATTATTTGGCCGAAGCTGAAGTTGGATCTCTGATGTCAAATGTGAAACTAAAAAAAAATGCGAGAGTCTAATTGTCGTAATTGTCTCTCTTACTTTGCGTTAATATTAGAAAACGACCTTTGTATTGCATAGCTTGTAATTAGACAATGCATTTAGCAGTAAAGGAAAACGATGTTATTCGCATTTTTAAGACTCGTAGAATATTTATAAAAAATAATATATATTTTAAAAAATTACATATATATATTTTTTTTTATATTCATCTATAATAGAAAAATATATATATGAAATTCAGATTTTAGAAATAAATTTATTATTATTATAGAAAAATACGTATCATTTTACAATAAAATATTTATTAAATTTACTTTTAAATACTGTGCATTAGAAAAAAAACCTGATTTGTTCTCTTTATCAAAAATTTAAATTTTGAGTGAACCTGAATTTTAATAATACTCAATTAAACATAATTTACAAGCCTTACTTTTGTTTTATGAATTTTTTTTTTTTTTTTTTTTTTTGCAAATGTGTAACTTTATGTACTTTGTAGAATTGGATGCTTACGGAAGTATGGTCTCTGTCCTACGTGCTCAAGGTCCTTTCACCAATGAGAAACAGAAGTTGTTACAAGAACTCGCTAGAGTGTTACATATTTCTAATGAAAGACATCGCGCTGAGATACGAAGAGCTGTAAATGATGAGAAACTGGCGACAATTGCAGAGCAGTATGTATTTTTTTGCACAATGAATCCAAAACATGTAGGAGAATTAGAAAAAAAAATTAATTATATGGCTAACAAAAATATAATTAAAATGTTCTTTTTTTTAAATAAATGAAAGTAGCTTATTATATTTTGGTAAAAATTGTAGAATGATTATATGTTTAATATAAAATCTCATTGCAGACTTAATGGTCCAAATACTGGGACAGATTGGACTATTGAAGGTCGCCGAACTATTCCTCTTCTGCCAAGATTGAAAGCACGATCCGTCTTCACGACGCTGGCGAATAGTTTGTCTCTTGCAACTGCGGTTGCAAACGAGAAAGAACCTAAGCCAATTATTTTAGAGAACACGACAGGTTCATTAAAAATGATAATTTTACCATGATCTATTTGCGTTATATATATAATTATATAATTTAAGCATGTATGTATATTTCTTTTGTGTACATATATTTGTGTTTTTAACAGCTATTGAAACTGAATCTCAACCTGAACTGAAAATAGAGAAAGACTCATCTGATGTAAAATCATGCAGTTTAAAAAACGATTGCAGTAGCAGCAAAATCTTACACGAAGTAAGATTGTTATAAATTTGCTTAAATGCAATTTTTTGTTTTACTAAAAATGTCTATGTTATATATTTTATATATTACATTTTTATGACTATTGATTATATAATTTGCATATTTTTTAGAATTCAAATCCGGCTGAAGAGAAGGAGATAGATAATAAAGATGAAATAATAAATGAAGCTATTGAAGAACCCATAATATCAAAACGTGCTGAAAAACGCAAATCACCATCTCCGTTGCCAACAGAGCCTCCAAAGAAGGTTCAAGTAGTAGAAGAACCATTAAACAACACTTTTGGTACAATTGAAGATAAACAAGCATCAGAAACTGCTTCTAAACAATTAATACAAACAGTCACGCATACTCCAAATGCTGAAATAATTTCACTTAATCCAATTGATGAGATTTCAGGTTGGTATATATATAATATAATATAAATATATATAAATTATTAAAATTTTATTAAAGATTTTTATAATAGATTTTATAAATGTGGAAATGCTCTTTTCTTTAATACAAAAATTTTCAAGTTTAATATGTCTTGCATGATTTTGCATTATTTTTCTTGTGAATCCAGAGATAAATCCAGATACAAAGAGTAGCACAATGGAATCAGGATATCCTAGTGCACAGCCTGGAGTTTCATTAAATAAGCTTGCAGTTACTACAACAATCTCGAATATAGATTGGACAAATTCCAATTTCAAAAAGCTGTTATACAGTAATGTACAGAATAATGTTAGTACAAAAGTAGTGCCAGCAATTTCGAATGTCGTATTGAGCACGTCGTTAAACAAAGTGCATTCGGAGAGTGAAGATTTGCAACATGAAGATAGCACAAGTATGCTTATTTCGATTTTACAATTTATTATTGTTTATATTTGTATTATTATATATATTTATATAAATTGCTTATATAAATTTATTTATATTTTATATATATATAATTTATTTTTATATATTATTTTATAATATATATTATTTAAAATAATATATATATATATATATATTTATATATATTATATATATTATTATTATCTTAACATATTAAAACAGTAAAGTTTCTCTTGTATTCTTGCAGATAATACACAGAAAACTTCTGAGAGATCTGAAAACACTAGTTCAAATTCATCATGCAAGACACAACTTATGGCATCATTTATACACGAAGCCCTAGTGTCAAGTAAGCATTATAGATATTCGTTCCTATTATTAATAATAAGAGTAAAATTAATAAATTTTTTTAAAAATTAGATATGTGTTATTTTTAAACATATTCATATTTTTCTTAAATATATATATAAATTATATAATAAATAAATATATAAAAATGAATACATAGGTTCTCAAGTTCAAATTACACCCGTAGTGTATCCTAGTACTACAGTATCAGTAGCATTATCAGGTGGCCCCGGGCCACCTCAGGTTAAGCAAGCTTCCACAGCGTTAACATGTAAAAAACTGCCATCGGAACAGATTGCCATCAATCATCAGTCCACTGCCAAAACGGTAATTGATTTCACTCCTTTAATATTGTTTTATAAAATCTAATGATATTCTTAAAATTCCACACAGAAAAAAATTACAAAAGTAAGAAATATTTTATCAGTAACATTATTGTGTTTTTCAGGGTGCTATGATAAATTCTAAGAAAGTTGTAAATATGTCTCATTACCGTAATGCTAAATTAAACACTAAGACTAATGTGATCGTCATTCAAAAGGCTCACGCACAAGGCGTAAAATTATCACACGCAGGCAAGGTAGTCTAATGAATTAATCTTATATAATTATATAGGGTGTCTTATTTTAAAAAATATGCTTGATTATGATTTTTAGAAAATAATGTTTCGAAAGTTGTTTGGTTTTAAGGGGGAAAAAATTGATAATCTTAAATTTTAATTATGGATAATGACTCCCCTCTTGAAAAATGTTTCAAGGTCATTTCAAGGTCAATCTTGTTTTATTTTTAATGGATGCTAATTTCATTTTTTATATTTAAATCGATTTCAGATCTAATGCATCTGTTTTAGGAAGTGTTAGGAAAGGTGATAATGGGTGGGAAGAATCTATGCATTACGACAAACCAGCATAATAATAATGCGAACTCGATCAGTGTTCAACCCCATCATATCTCTCTGAACAATGGAGATCAAACGAAGACTCCGCTGCCGATTGTAAACTCGCCGCAGAATGCAGAATCCGCCTATACGAATATAAACGTGAGTTTATATTTTTCATATTTGATTCGATTTTTCCTCGTCAGAATTTTCTATCTGAATATTATTACTAACATCACCTGCACAAAATAATGCGCAACGTTATTCCTTATAATACCATATATAATGAACGGTTAAAAATATTATATAAGAATATTATATAGATTAATTAAGAATTAATTAAGTATAAGAAATATATATAAAAGAATATTATAAGAATTAATTATAATAATATAAACGAATAAAAGAATATTATAAGAACAAATGAGAAAATATATACATATAATGAAGTCAAATATTTTAAATTGGAATACATTTTTTTAATTTTTTTCCAGTTTAAACAAGTAGTGGATGTATCCGCAAATTTACGGCACGACTCCAACAAGAACAAGCTCTTCTCGCAATTTTTGGAAAGAGCTACGAAGTTGCACGTGCAACATAAGACTGTGATACAAAACGTGAATGTGCAGCAGAAGGATTGCAGCAGCATCGCAAATACGACTGATCGAGATTCATCTCCAAAAGCAGATTCCGCAATGGAGGAAAAACATAGGTCAGTTAAGAAAAAAAATATATTGATAGATGCTAACTTTTTTTAATTTGTAAGGCTTCTCGCTATGTCAGATTGTGACGTCAGAGGCAAGAAAGCAAACGCTGAAAATTCTTAGATGCCATTTTAAATGAAGATATTTTGAAACAGTACTTTAGATGGCTTTAGCACACTTTTTCGCCTTTGATTTCGCCACAATTTTAACATGGTCAATAATGAATTTTGAGAATATTTTGATAAATTAACATTCATCTTTCTCTTGTAGAAACTGTCAGGCAGTGAAGTCATTAGATTCCTCAAAATCACAGGAGAGTAAAGAATTTATTAGGCCAAATCAAATCGCCAATACGCAAGGTATTTTATGCAATAAATATATAGATTGTCTTATAATTTTAAACTTTATTTTAATAAAAGAAATGAGAGTGTGTTATCAAAATTCAAATTATGAATTTGTCCCTTATTTATCCAAGTTTCGAATTTTTTAAATATTTGACTTCATTATATGTATATATTTTCTCATTTTTGTTCTTATAATATTTTTTTATTTTATATTTATATTCTTATAATTAATTCTTATAATATTCTTTTATATTATATATACAGGGTGTCCGGTAACTAACGGACCAACGATTACAAATTGATTCTTTGGTCAATTTGGGAACGATTTTTCCTCAGCAAAAATGTCGAAAAAGGTCATCATTTTTTACAACTTTCCAATATTTGTCATTATGTATCTTTATAACTAAGCCTCAAATTAAAATTTTATTATAGTAGACTCTACCTGAAATTAACTGAAGAATGTAATTATGTTAGACTTTTAACTCCAAAACGTTTAGTTTTCAAAAAACCCATTTTTTTTCAATCGCTTATAACTCGAAAATTATTAACTTCTTAACATTTTTGCTAAGGAAAAATCGTCTCCAAATTGGTCAGAGAATCCGCCCTTCATCATTGGTCCGTTAGTTACCGGACACCCTGTATATATATATTTCTTATACTTAATTAATTCGTAATTAATTTATATAATATTCTTATAATATTTTTAACCATTCATTGTATATGTTATAAGGAATAACATTGCGGATTTATTTTGTGCAGATGATGTTAGTAATAATATTCAGATAGAAAATTCTGACGAGGACGTGAAAACGATTAGCGAGACGATAGACGAGATCACAAATCCGCAACATGTAGAGTATATATTACAAGAAGACAATTACAAGAATTGCGTTTTAGAAGATTCAAGATCGATAGCGACTCTAAATCAAGTGAAGCACGACGATTCGTAACGATTAAAGGAATTTCAACGTTATCGTTGCACGACAGAAAGGCTGATGACTTTTGTATTGAAAAAACACTATATCTAGCTTATATAATATGTATATTTATATGGTATATATTATATAATACATATTAATATATAATACATATACAGGGTGCCCCAGACCTAACGTGACACACGTTAATGGGAGATTCTTGAGGCGATTTGGAGACGATTTTTCCTCAGCACCAATAATTTCGAGTTATAAGCGATTGAAAATAAGGTGCTTTTCGCAAACTAAGCTTTGTAGAAATAAAATATTAACAAATTACATTTTTTCTTGTAATTTTATGTAGAGTTTACTTTAATAGAATTTTAATTAAGGTTTAGTTACAAAGACACATGATTTCAAAAATTGGGATTCTGCAAAAAATGATGGCCTTCCTCGACATTTTCGCTGAGAAAAATCGTTTCCAAATAACCTTAGGAATTTCCCATAAACGTGAGTTACATTAAGTCTGGGTATCTAATATGTATATATATATATATATATATATTAATAAATGTAATATTATATTATAAAATTATTAATATAATATTATAATAATATATATTATATAATATATATTTTACCCCCCCCCCCACACACACATACACATACTCAGTCCCATAAGAATACATACATGTATGTTTTCATGCATATTTTAACGAGATTTTTACATATATATGCCTATGTTTGCTCGTTAGAAAATGAAATGAATTAGTAATTGGCCTTAGTTGCATACAGAGTGCAATTAAAAGGATGTTCAATCATGAAAATGAGATTCCAGCACTCCGATTCACAAACACATTGATTTATTAATATTAGTTCTGTATATATAAGTGCCAAAATACGATCTGCCGTTAATTTATACTTTGTAAACAGCCATGACATGCGCATTGTATATTCATTCATTTTTGCTATCAATGTAAATCGCTCTTTTAACATTATTTAATTTCAATTATCACGACTCTATCTTCTGTCAATAGAAAAGAGAGTTGTAAGTTGGAATCCTCGGTGCATTTAGTGCTTCTTTTACCTTGAATGTGTTCGTAAATATAGGGCAGCTATGTAATTTAATATTAAACGCGATTCTTTGATCAAAAATGTCTCATGTAGCTAACTGACGTCAGTTTGCTATTTGGGACATTTTTATTGCATCCACAGCAAAAACAACAAATCTATCCAATTCTTAAGATAATCGAGATAAGAATCAACGATAAATAAAAATTAATTTTGCATGGTAAATGGAAAACCAACCGAACGTGTCAAATTGCATGCGCACACTTGAAAATTTTGTACTTTTGTCCATAAATATATATATATATATATATATATATATATATATATATATATATATGTAAAGACTAAAGTTTCTGTAAATGTGATATTATAACGTTAAGTGCTAGAAAATTTAGTTCTTTAAATCTGTCATTTGCTCATGCTACTGTTGCAGCGGCGTATATTGTAAATATTTTGTAAATATATCGATATATACATACTCCGAACTAATCGAAGAAAGGATGATGTTTATTTAAAGCTATGGTACATAAAAATATAATCTTCCATTTCGCCGTAACAAGATGTGAATATTAATTAAATAAAATTCGACGATAGCTTTAGTCATTTTTATTAACAGAAAGAAAAAATATACCGTTCTCTATGTTTGAATATTAACTTGCTCGCATGCGAAGCAAGTTAATAATTTATATTCTTCACTAAGTGCAATTTTTAACAGCAGAAGGTATTATATTTTTCACAAGCAAAATGAGACACTGCCCTTCAATTCGCGATTATTGTGATAATACTCTGTTATTCGGTTTTTGAATTATATATTTTATGTGAAATTTCCGTGTCGAAAGTTGCTAATTATATTTTTGCCTAAATCGTACGAACTTATATTATAATCTTTAGCAATAAATGAGACATTAAATTTTTTAATCGATCATATGTTGTGCAGGAATCGATCTTGAATTTTTTAATTTATAACAATTTTATTTTAACTATATAATTTAAGGCTTTCTTAATAAAATTTAATATCGAATATTAAAAAATTATTAAAAGTTACGTGATACTCCGTCAAATTTAGACAAAATCTGTAGTCGAAAATGAAAATTGTGTATAAATACAAACGATGATAATTTATAGTTAATTGTAAAAGAAATAAAGATATTCAAATGTGATTAAAATTGATCCTTCATTCTTTTAAATGTTTAATAATATTAATACGCACCTTTTTTATGTATCTACTAGTAATATAAAAAAATTATATATATAGATGTAACTGAAAAAAATATACATATATTTGCTTTCTCTCTCTCTCTCTCTTTTTTTTTTTTTTTTTTTTTTTTTTTTTTTTTTTTTTTTTTTAAGTTACATCCTGTATATCACTTCAAGACGATATATTATATTAATATTATATTTAAAAAACTTGCTTTTCAGGAGTATAGAAAATTCACCAAATGAGCACTCTATCATTTGTTACCAAGTTTTAATAAATGCTCACACCATTGAAAGGAATTGTGGGCCAATACATGCTCACATCATTGAAAGGAATTGTGTAAAGACTAGGGTATCATATATGTATATCAAAGAACTTCTTATTGTCCCTAATTGTATCATTAGGTATTTGAATAATTGTTAATATGGACGAGGAGGGGGACCACCGCGCATCAAACCAGGAGGTGGGCCTCTCATTCCAGGTGGTCCCATTGGTGGGCCACCACGTCCTATTCCAGGTGGCATTCCAGGTGGCATACCTATCAAACAAAGAGACATGTATTTTTAGTATGTACAATTTAATTTAATATTTAATTAATGTAATATGTAATATAATTTTACATAATTTTAATTTTATATGTAATATAATTTTTTTGTAATTAATGCATGTAAAACAAGATTTTTGAAAAATTATATAAAATTATATTACATATTACATTATTACATGTATATTACATATTATATTACATTATTACACACGTTACAATATTCCATTATTACATATCTCTTTCTATTCCTTTTCTTCTTTAGATAAAAGTATTGACAGAAAAATTATATATTACACATATATAAAATTAAAATTATGTAAAATTATATTACATATTACATTAATAAATATATCTATATATATCTGTATCTATCAATACTTTCATTTAAAGAAGCAAAAGTAATAGAAAAAGAGAAAAAACGATCTCTCTGCATATTTTAAAGGAATCGAATGGAGGAAAAAATTGTACCCATCATTCCAGCTGGTGGTCCCATCATGCCAGGTGGTGGCCCACCAACAGGCATTCGCGGTGGGCCCCCAGGATGTATCTGAGGCGGCGCCGAGACCTGGCCTCTGCTGCCAGGAGTCATGATCTGTTGGGAAGGTCCTCCGACACCCTTACAGGACCTTGAAGACCAGCTGGCACTCCCGCCACATTTGCAGGCATACCTCTGCCAGCTGCACGAGCCATACCTGGCCCAGGAGCTGCTCCTGGAATCGGTACCCTAGGTAAGCCCTCTTCAGGAGGAGGCGGACCCTCGACAGTCAGCGAAACTATATTCTCGCCCCGTAGAAGAACAAATCCCAGGACACGCTTCTCCTCCCTTTCAGGCTGCTTGGTGTTCTTTGGCTTGATCTTGCGAAATTCCTCGCAATCACCGAGTATCAGATTCATATGTTTGTCAAAAGCTTTGAAAGTGCCGATAAAAGTCCTAGAGTCCTGCAGAATGATTCTGACTCTATAGTTGATGTGCTGTAACATCTTGTTGTTCTTGCCGATAGTCTGAAAATCAGAAACTGAATTAAAAAAATATTTCTATTTTATATTCTCTTTTTATGTGATTAATTTATATATGTTGTGTATTTATATATATATATATATATACACATACATATATATATATATATAAGAAAATAATATAAGGATAATAATATAAAGAATATGTATAAGAATTATACATATAATAAAGAATAATATAAATATATATAATATAAATAAAAAATTAAACATAATCGTTCAAAATAAAATGTTTTACTGTAAAGCGTCTGATTTTTTTCATGTTTGTCTATAAGCAAAAGAATTGTTTTCAATTATCTTATTCTATAATGCGTATAATTTTCTTTAGACAAATAAATTCTGGATATTTATTTTCAAAAATAGAGAAACTTATGAATATTTTTTAAAAATATATTTATGTAATTATCGAAATATTGAAATTCTAAAAGATCCTTAATTCACGTGTATGACAGAGCATTATTTAAAGTGTAGAAAATTATAAAAGTAAGTTGAATCGAAAGATTGTTGAATTAAAGTAATCTCGAAAATAATAATTTTCATCACTTACCATCTTGATTATTATTTTGCAAGTACTTGTTTTACAAAAAAATTCCTGAGAAGAGTTCTCCTCGTACCGTATAACCTCTCGCTTCACGTAAACATGAAGAAATAATTCTGAAGATTCTCAGATAATATCGCATGTGTCGATGTTACATTTAGCGAGTTTGTTTTCATCGAACGCGCTGATTGGCTGTCGGCCAGGAAATCGCTAGGGTCCTGAAGTTTCCCGCAGCAGCAACCAATCACAGCTCGTTACGATAAATGAGACATCAGCCTTGAACCTATCGAACCGCCAAATCTACCGGCGTCGTATCTCACGTTTTTTTCGATAGAGGGAGAAGGTTTTTCGAGGTATTAAGATCAATAATATTATTATTATATTATATATTATTATGTTACTATTATATTATATGATTATTATTACCCAAGGAGAACAGAAAAGTCAAAACGACGTCCATTTGACGTCATATTGACTAAATTATGTCATTTTTGGTCAATATGACGTCAAATTTAGTCAATATGACGTCATTTTGATTTTTCTGTTCTCCTTGGAATATATCATATAATAATATATTATTATAACATCAATATATATATATTATTCAGATTAAATATTGAAGAAATGAATTATTAGAAATTTTAAAAAAATTATAAAAGAAAAGAAAATTATATATACATTAATGGGGCGAATCGAATAAATCTGTCATCTCATCGGTCAATTTTGGTGCAATCAGGATGACGGAAGAATTTTCAAATACATCGAACGAAATCCAAAATGCTGAACAATATAACGTATCGATGTCTGAAAATAATACAGTTCAAACATTTAAACACATCTCATCGTGGAAATACAAAAATCCGTTCAGCGTTTCTGTTAGTAATTCTGAAAAGTTTAGTCATAAATCCGGTAAATGCACAACTATTTAATTCTTAAATATTAAAATAATAAATTCTTAAATACATATAATTATATATAGTTATATACATAAAATATATATAGTATTAATTTTTTAAATTATTTATTTTTCAAGATTTCAATATTTTAATATGATTAGCAGTACATTATATAATTATAAATATGTAATAGTTTAATTAATATAATTTGTAACAGCTCTTTAGAAAATTTTAATCTACAAATAAAAAGGCAATAAGAGCTAATTAAGTTCTATACAAGAAATATATTTGTGAAAAGATTTATAACATATAATATTAAATATTAGACAGAAATAAATTCGTTCGTACGTTTCGGTTGTCTTTTTCAACCTTCTTCAGCGCACCAATTAAAAATTAAAGATTAGTAGAAATTAACAATAAAGTTTAGTTTAATTAATTTGTTAAAATATAATCGTATATATTGACAATTCATCAATCTTTCATTGTTTCACCTGCATTAAACAGATATGACCAAGATATATTGTATATTATGATTAATGATGCATGTAAATTAAAATAGAATATTAAATTAAAATAATTTAATCTAATTCTGTTTTAATTTACATGCATCATTAATCATAATATACAAGATATTTGAATCATATCTGTTTAATTATAAAATTATAAAATTTAGTACGAGATTTTTTGATATATATACATATGATTAGATTCACATTTTTACAAGAATAAATACTAAAAGAGCTAAGTCAAATTAAATTTTCTTAATCATTTTTTATAATATTGTAGAGAATATTCTCAAGGAAGATAAATATGAAAAAAAAACGAAGCAAAGCATTCTCCATAACTGTCGAGAATATTTAGCTAATTATCAAAAATCTTGTGATAATATATCGCGTAACAAGGATTCTTTTGCAGCCTTGATCGTAATAATGGCTCAAGCTACAGTAAAATCTCTGTGGGCATTAATGTACATAATTGTTAACATTGCTCCCATTATCCAGGTGACTATACACAAGACATTTTTATACAGGGTGTCCCACATATACAGAATTTCGAAAAAGAAGTTTTATTTTAAGAGGCATTTTTAGATTTTTCGAGATCATAATCATTAATTTTTTTTAAACTGAGTTATTTTCATAATTTTTCTCACATAAATGTTCTCATATACATTTGTTAAAAATTGTTAAAGAGAAATAATCGAAACATGAATGATTTATGAGATTGTATGTTTTATAGTCTGAATTCCTTTTAGCAAAAAAATACGTCTCCCTTGAAATCTTACAATTTTTGTATGAAACATTTTTCGATGGAAGCTTTTTGGCTTCTAAACATCGAGAAATCTCAAAATGCAAAAATTAAAATGGGATACTTTGTATATCTGATCTTAAATTAAGGATAAAATTGTAATTTCTGAAATTCCTGCAAATTCCAGATATTTTCCTTCATATTAAGATTTGTGTTCAACAAGATAATCGACATTCGCAAAACTAAGAACATTAAGCAAGTAATGGTGAAGTTCGCGATATTCGTTATACAATTGCTCAGCGTGTACGTTTGCCTTATATTTATACTCGTTTCATCGTTTTGCCGGTTGTCCAAATGGCAGTCGGTATCGTGGCTAAATTCGTGATGCATGATTAAATAATTCTGATTTTTTTAAATAAAACGTGAATAAACCCATATGGTGTGTTCTTATACAGAATAAGTTCTTTAGTTTTAGATTAGCTTTCGCTTCGTATAAGTAAATGACCCAAGTAGCAAACTGGCGTCATCAAAATGATGTCATTTTCATGTCTAATGACGTCATTAAATGTCAAAATGATGTCATTTGATGTTAATAACGTCATCAAACGTCAAAATGATGTCATTTTATGTCTAATGACGTCAGTAAACGGCAAAATGATGTCATTTGATGTCTAATGACGTCATTAAACGTCAAAATGTCATTTCATGTCTAATGACGTCATTAAACGTCAAAATGATGTCATTTCAATGTCTAATGACGTCAGTAAATGGCAAAATGATGTTATTTTACGTCTAATGACGTCATTACACGTCAAAATGATGTCATTTCATGTCTAATGACGCTATTAAACATCAAAATAATGTCATTTATGACGTCACGATGTCAAAATGACGTATACGTTTGCTATCTAAGTGAAAACATTTATAGAATTTATAGTCGTTCTTTCAGAATATTTTTCTCGCAAGTCGATTCGAGAATCTCGAATTAAAAAGTAACATGTACGAAACGTTTTTAATAAACAATAACCAGGACGATCGAGAACAATAGAAGAGCAAGAGTGTCCAGTACTATAGCGTGACTCGCTGCACCCCATCCGCATTCTAAGTCTACTTTCAACGCGTTCGACAACGATATATTGTTCTTGTTCAGACAGAACGTCTCGCGAAGATCATCGTCCCAACCGTTGTCCCAACAATTGAATTCATCGCCTTCCTCGTGCTCGAAGTTCTTGAATTCGTCATAAGACGTACATCGATCTTCTTGATATTGTCTGTGCTTCCTCTGCCATACCTCGATCCACCTGTGTGAAGAAGAGAAAAGAAAATGTTCATGTATTTCTTTCAGCAGAAAATGCTCAAGTGGCAAACTGACGTTATTAAACGTTAAAATGATGTCATCAAGGTTGGGCAATAATTAGTTAATTATAGTAAAAAGTTAAAAAGTTAATAACGTTTAACTTAGCTTAGTTAATTTAAAATGTATTAATTTTTAACTGTAACTAGTTATTTTTGACCTTAAACTTATTAACTTTTTCCTAAGTTAAATTTTTTTATCTCTGAATACCTATTGTTTTTTAAGTTATAAACGTATTATTTTTAATTAAAGTATTATATATTTGTTTATTTGTCATCAATTGTAATTGCCAAAAAATATATTTCTATATTTTTAGAAATGTAGGAGAAATATAGAAAATATAGAAATATATTTTTTGGCAATTAAAAATCAAAATTTCTTTGTTATTTGCTATTATAAATTTCAAAGAATTAACAAATAAAATTATAATTTAATATAAATAATAATTTTTAAAATTAACTTTTGATTTAACTTCAGTTTAATTAATTTAATCTTAAACATCAACCGAATTAATTTTTTATTCATGCAATTTTAACATAATTATAACTTAATTTTATAAGCAACTAACTTTAACTTATAACTTATTAGTTTTAAAAAATCATTAACTTACCCAACCCTGACTGACGTTATTAAACGTCAAAATGATGTATAATTTATTATAACTTGAGCACAGAGCACAGATGAAGTTTTTGCTCTCAATCTAAGGTAGTAAGTGTACATACATCATTTTGACGTTTAGTGACGTCAGTTTACTACTTGTATCATAATTAATAATTTTTGTAGTGTTTATAAATTTATATTATCGTTGATAGTCATCGTACCCAACATCGCAATCACAGTTGAGATAGCTGCCTGCTAATCGCAGCTTCATGATAAATCGCTCCCCAGATACTCCTGGCTTATAACCGGACGACGGATTGTGCAACGTTCGAGTGTTGCTCTGGTGAATTTCCACAGTTATATTGCGCACTCGATGAGCGTTGTTGAACATTTCCCGCGATACGGTCGCCACGCTGGTATTATACAAGCCGAAGTAAAGGCGAGGATTTCGCATGCCCTAAAAAATCGCTCGATATGTATCTCAAGCATCTAACCAAATTATTTTTACAGTTAAATATCAGCTGATTTCTGACAAAAAATATTAATAGAGGTATAACATATTATTTACAAGATATTATTATTTTAATGTGTTTAACATATATTAATATTTTAAAATTTAATTAGCAATTAAATGCTTCATTAATATTTTTTTGACAGAAATCAGCTGATCAAATCGTTATAATTTGGTAATTAAATTTTTAAATAATAATATGCTATAAAAATTAAAATAATATACAACATTTTAAATAATATATGTATGTTTATAATACTTTAATATTTTTGATAGTTAAATATTAATCGAGTTAAAACAAATTTTATATTATTTTTTGAAAATATTCTTTTTAATGTAAAATCGAAGAAGTAGCGCATGCTTATGTTGTTCTAGTTTTATATATAAAATTCAAAACATTATCAATCTAATCAAGATAGTCAATTCAAGATTTTAACAATATATTAATAAGAATGTATGTCTATGTAATAATTAAATTGGGCATAATTTAATTAATTTAATTGATTCTATGGTCATTCTCTCGTTTGTCAAATTAGTTAAAATTTTATATGATCACACATGTTCATGGAAGCAACTCAGTAGGTCATTTTGAATTTTCGAATGACATCAATATTGATGTTTAATGACAGTTTGCTACTTGAGAATGAACTGATACTTTATAAAATTTTTATTAATTATTTATTTAAAAAACGCAAATTATATATATATATATATATATATATATATATATATATATATATATAGGAAACAAAAGAACTTACGTGCAGTATTTGCGGATGTATGTTCTTTAAAACTCTACCAGTCAACGTAATATTGTATAACTTGTAGGGTAATTTCCCTCTCATTTCCTTTTCTAGATTGGTGTCATTCTGAACCTACACAAATAAATATACGTTTGTGAACTCAACGAATCTAGCTCTAACTGTAGATTACACAGGGTTCGGTAAGTTAATGGTTTTTTAAAACTAAGTTGAATTAAAGTTAGTTGCTTATAAAATTAAAAATTGCACGAACAAAAAATTAACTCAGTTAAAGTTAAGTTAAGATTAAATTAACTGAAGTTAAATCAAAAGTTAATTTTTAGAAACATTTATATTAAATTAGAATTTTGTTTATTAATTCCTTTAAAATTTTATATTGACAAATAAAGAAATATTGATTTTTATAGAGAAATATATTTTTTGGCAATTACAATTGATGACAAATAAACATGAAAATTAATATAATATTTTAATTTAAAAATAATACGTTTATAACTTATAATAAACAATAATGGTATTCAGAGATAAAAAATTTAACTTAGAAAAAAGTTAGAAATTTAAGGTCAAAAATAGTTAGTTGAAGGTAAAAATTAATACATTTTAATTAACTAAGCTAAGTTAAAAGTTATTAATTAATTAATTAACTAGTTATTACTCAACCCTGAGACCACATAACTTTGACTTACATCAATGAGCAAATGCTTCAGACCATGATTATGCTGCAGAATATTGGGAAAATTAAAGTTCTTCACACCGTTATACGCAGTGATGTGCAACTTGCGGAGTTTGCTGGCTTTGCAGAGCGCACCTGTCTGCAAGAAATAATGGATTACATTCAGTGGCGGATTAAGCATTTTGCCGCCCCTAGGCAGCGTACATTTTGCCGCCCCTAAAAGCAAAAAAAAAAAAAAAAGATTTAGTACAAATATCAACAATTTTCTGTTACCCCTGCATTAGCTGGTGAAAACGTAATATATTTTTAAATATTTTCACGACCCCAGAGTGCACCACGAGGAGGTTTGCAGATAGGATTTTACACTCCTTTTTTTACTTTCTTTCTTTATTTTTTTTTACTTTTTTATTTTATTTCTTTTTTTATTTTTTGTTCTTTTTATCTTTTCTTGTATTTTAATTTTTTTTATTCTTCTTTTTTATATTTTATATATTTTTTTTAATTTTTATTTCTTTTTATCTTTTTTACTATATTTTTGTTAGTTACTTGTTTTTATTGTAATAATGCTCGGAATTAAAATGAGCGTCGCTTCGTCGCTCGTCGCCTAATATCTCCCCACTACCGCCTACCGCTCGAGGCTTGAACCGGTCGTCAATGGCTGCGTTCAGCAGACAGAGGCGACAGAGCAGATCAGTTAGCGCTCAGTGATTCTTTAATATAATTGGTTCTTGCATTTAGATTTTTGTTAGATCTAAGTGCAGAAACCAATTACAATAAAGAATCACTAAGCGCTCATTGATCTGCTCTGTCTGCTGAACGCAGCCATTGGTATTGGTAGAGTCGTCGGCGGCTCGGCCGTCGGCGGCTCGATCGTCATCGGCTCGGCCGTCGAGCCTCAAGCGGCCAGAGGCGGCGAAAATTTTCTGTCTTCGAAAATTTGCCGCCCCCTCCAATTTGCCGCCCTAGGCAAATGCCGATGTTTGCCTCTAGTGTTAATTCGCCCCTGATTACATTTCACACATCGTCTGTGAAATCTTGTAAAATTTATTTACCTCGAAAATTGACAGAGTGAGTCTTCGTATATCCAGCTCTTCGAGGCTGTCGGCCACGCCCAGGAAACTCGTGTTCGTAATAGCTGTGATTGGATTATCCGCCAAATTAAAGGTCTTTAATTCAGGCAGCGAGTGCGTGATCAACGGCACCATCGTCAGATCATTGAAACTCAAGTCTAAATAGTGCAGAGACGTCAGATTCGATGACATTTCCGCCGGCACTGATGCTAACTCGTTATGCGCCAGGTATAAAGTTCGCAGCCGTCGTAGAGGCAATTCTGGAACCTACTTTGCTAATTTAAATATGCAGTTCCATATTGCTGATAAATCAATTACTAGGGATAGGCATGCAATTTATGTTTTGAGCATAATAGCATATGTGTCAAAAATTGTTTAATATAATATTAAATGTTTAATATTAACTTATTATTAAATATATGGTATAATTAAATTATAATATTTACTTTAATATTATAACTTAATTATACACTTAATACTAAGTGTTTAATATTAATAAGAATATTAAGTCGGCTCCTTAATTTTAAGGTTTAATATTAAGTTAATATTAACTTTAATATTATAACTTAATTATACACTTAATATTAAGTGTTTAATATAATATTTTAACTTAATATTAAGTGTTTAATATAATATTTTAACTTAATATAATATTAAGTGTGTACTATGCATAACTATTAAAATGAATGCTTAAAAACAATTTTTGGCACATTATGCTATTATGTTTAAAGCATAAAGTGCCTATCCCTATAAATTACTTACGCTCAAGAGGGAAATGTTGCTTAGACTGAGGTACAGAAGAGTGTCTTCTAAACCGTAGAATGTTCTTCCGCGGCTTTCCAAGATGAGTTGCTTGTTGTGACTTAAATCGAGATGGACCAGATGTGGTAGCTCGGAAAATACGCCCGTCGTCTAATCTGACAAGTCGATTGTACGATAAGTCCATCCACACCAGACTCTATCGAAAAAATATAGTGCACGACGTTTATTCAATGATATACTATTAAAGGAGATAATTGATTTTGATTATTCAAGCAATATAAATTTTTTAAAAATTATATAAAGTGATTATCCTATATATTAGGGAGCTTTAAATTTATGATTCGTCCTTTTATCATCTTTAAATCATTTTTAAATCATTTTTGTCCAGATAACTTTTCCAGGGAGCAAACTGACGTCATTAAACGTCAAAATGACGTCATTTTGGCGTTTAATGATGTCAGTTTGTTACCTGAGTTTTAATAAGTGATGAATAAAATCATGACATCATTATGAATTTTATGTTCTACCTGGGTAGCAAACTGACGTCAAAATGACGTATACTTGCTACTTGGGAGTCGAAGAAAGCAATTTGGATTTACCCTGAGTCTGAATATCGTGTCGGTGCTGTGGATCCCCGATAAGACGTTCCAGGACATATCCAGATTTGTTAAGCTCGCGGCGGAGATCAAGGACATACTCTTGATGGGCAGTCTTGTGAATTGATTGTGCGAGAGATCGAGGCTCTCTATGTTGCATTCGGCGAACACGTTGTCCGGCAACGTTCGCAGCCTGTTGTGGGACAGGTCAACGATGCGCAACTTCTTCAGCGGCCTCAAAGCCTCTGCCGGGATGTCCGTGATCTCGTTCCACGAGAGAAACAACACCTGCAGATTTCTCGTGTTCTTGAAACAGTCAAAGTCCACCTCGCTCACGTCGTTGCGCCGCAAGTCGAGCCACTGCAGGTGCGGCATGTTGCCGAAGACAGTTTGGGTGATGTTTCTCAGCTGATTGTTCGACAGATACAGATGGGTAAGCGAGTATTCGACCGGCTTGAAATAATACTTCATGATGTCGGAGATGTTATTGTAACTCAAATCCAGAACCTTGATGTTCGATTGCACGGTACTGCCGACTAAAAATTAAAAATATTAAATTTTACATTCAATTTTTAAATCGAAATTACAAATTTTTTTGTCAGAGAGAATAGGACGATGAAGAACTCACTGACAGAAATAGGTGCAAAAGCGGTGCTATTTATCCATAATCTCGGAATTTCGTTGTGGCTAACGTTGACCTTGAACGACGACAACGTGCCCACTTGGTCGAAGGAGGCGAAATCAAATTCGTGAAGATTGTTATATGCGAGATCCAGAAACTCAAGATCCGGTAGATTCTGAAATATAAGTTTTCACATGAATCTTCAGCTGATCTGGCAATATTCTTAGATAATCATTCTCATTTAAAAATGGTATCGGACTTAATTTTGGTCCGTCTTATTAGACTATATAGAAATCCAGGTAGCAAACTGACGTCATTAAACGTCAAAATGACGTCAGTTTGCTATAATACTTGAGAAGCTCCAGAAGTAGTAAACTTAAACTGACGTCATTTTGACGTTTAATGACGTCAGTTTTTGCTACTTGGGACATATTCCTAAACGTTTTACAATATGATAATATAAATATGATTTTTTTATATTAAATTATATTTTTAAATTATATATTTTTTAAAATTGTATTAAAATAATTTCTTATCTGTTTTACAATATATTTTAGAATATCTGCACACATACATACATACACACATACATACATACATACATACATACATACATACATACATACATACATACATATATATATATTCGTATATTAAATTACCTGGAAGGCTTCGTCGTTGATATCCGTAATCTTGTTGCCGCGCAAGTTGATGTATTTGAGTCGGTTCATATTCATGAAGGCCCGCCTCTCGATCCTGCTGATAACATTATCCTCCAGATTGATCGTCATCAGGGCCGATAGATCGACGAACGTGTGAGTTTGCAGACTCTTTACTTGATTGAACGCAAAGTTGATCTCTTCCAGCATCGAATGGATATCGCCCTATATGAATCAAATGATTTCTCTTATTGTCGATTCTTTAAGAAATCTTAACTTGTATCGTTAAAATCGATCGACTTACCTGAAAAGTACCCTTGGATATATTATCGATTTCGTTATCCTGCAATTCGATGCGCTTGATCCTCTTCAGGAAGTGGAACGACGTAGCTGGTAAGGAACGAATCTTGTTGTTGCTAAAGTCGAGATGTTGCAGATTCGTCAGCGATTTGAACGGTCGACTAGGTATTTCGGAAATCGTCGAGGACAGACCGTGGGATATTCTTAACGTCAGTAAAGAATGGCCTACCTAAGTGAGGAACTCGAAGAACTGTCAAACGACCTTGTATACTTTGTGCACAATTTTTTTCTTTATTTTATTGTGAAAAATGTCCCAACGTCAATTGGGATGTTTTTATGACGTCGTTTGACGTTTAATGACATCATTCGACGCCAAAATGACATATATTTTCCAAGTAGCAAAATGACGTCAGATTGCGACTTGAAATGTTCTATGACATCATTTTAACGTTTAATGACGTCATTTGACGTTTAATGACGTCATTCGACGTAAAAATGGTATATACTTTCCAAGTAGCAAAATGACGTCAGTTTGCTACTTGGGTTGCTATTTGGGATGTTCTTATGACGTCATTTTGACGTTTAATGACGTCAGTTTGGCATTTGAGACGTCTTAGAAGTTTGTCCAAGTATCGGAATCAATTTTGTATAAAGTGCACAATATCTAGATAAAAATTAGGGTCAAATGAAAGAATTACCTCTGAAAAGGCCTCGTCGTCTATCGTCGATATCGAGTTTTCGGAGAAATCGAGATACTTGATTCCACGAACGTGCATAAAAGCGTGGCTTTTGATGGTGTTGAGATTACTATGGATTATCCATAGTTCCTTGATGTCCATACCGAACTCTAGAAAATTGTCCGCAGACAAGGTCGCCTGCGGCATCCTAGAGATAGAGAGGAAACGCAGGTTTCTCATCTGTCGTAGATCTTGAAGGGAGACGACGCCGTTCTGCTTCCCGCTAAGGTCCAAATTGTATAAGGAATATTGGAATCCATTGAAGATCTCGGCTAAAATGTTAAGTGGCATAATGTGAAGTGGTGAAGCAAACATGAATTACTTACGTAAAATAATATATACTTACTTGGCGAAAATGTGTTGATGCGATTCTCGCGGAAGATGAGTGTATGCAGGAAGTCGAAATCCTGGAACAGCCGGTTGGGAAGAATAGTTATGTTGTTTCCCGAGACGTCCATTAACTCGAGAGTCGATTCCAAACCGACGAAATTGACCGAGTCGATCTCCAGTAAATCGCAGTCGTTCAAGTATAGCTCGCGAATGCGCGAGTCTCGGAATGTGTCCTCCTTTAAATTGAGTTATTAATTATTTTGAAAATATCATTACTATTATTTTAACATTATTAAGTTCTCTAATATTAGTTTGAATTATCTTCTCATTTAAAAATTATCTTCAGCAAACAGATTTAAGTCCTGACCTCAGTAATCCAAGTAGCAAACTGACGTCATTTTGATGTCTAATGACGTCATTCGATGTCATTTAGGTCCTGGCCTCATCAGTAATCCAAGTAGCAAACTGACTGTCATTAAATGACGTCATTTTGATGTCTATGACGTTATTCAACGTCAAAATGATGTCATTTTGATGTGTAATGTATGTATAAATACCGAAACGTTCAAAATAATTAGTTAAGAATTTAAGTTAAGAACAAATTTGTTGTACTGGGTCTTCTCAATCCTTTTTATACCTGATTTTGATTATTGTAATTTTTAATTTAATCATACCTCGATCATCGTCAGAGGATTGCCGCTGAGATAGGTGCGGTTGACCTTATGAAAATGCTGAAAATCACCGGATGCGAGAATCTCGATCTGATTGTAATCCAGTCGCAGCATATCCAGGGACATCTGTATGCCCTTAATCTCCGGTTCCTGTTGCGTTTGCAACATTCTCGATATCCTGTTGTAGCTGAGATCGAGGACCTTCATGCGCTTCAACTGGGACAGCTGGGCGTATGGCACGTACGTCAGTTGGTTGTCATTCAGATAGAGATGCGTTAGGTAAGCCATTCCATCCCTAAATACCGACGAATCGATCTCCATCAGGCTATTCTCTCGAAGATCGAGGATCTCCAGATACGTGAGACCGGCGAAGGCGTCGGCCGGCAGTTTCTCGATCGCATTTCGACCTAGACGTAGAGTCTGCAGAGAGTTTTCCAGACCGCGCCAATTCTCCGACGTGATGAGAGATATTTTGTTACCTAAAAAGAGAAAAAAAAGATAAAGAAAAAGAAGAAAAAAAAAGAAGAAGAACATGATAATAATATGATAATGAAGATATTAAAGATGATAAAGATGAGGAAGAAGAGAAAAGAAAGAGAAAAAGAGGAAAGAAAAAGAAAAAGATGAAGATGATGATAATGATGATGGATGATGATATGATAATGAAGATGATAAAAATGGAGAAGAGAAAGAGAAAGGAAAAAAAGGAGGAAAAAGAAAAAAGTGATGATGATGTTACATCAAGAAACTCTCTCGTATTATCGTATTAAAAAATGGATATTTTATTAAAATAAGAGAAAATAATTAATTAAATTATATAATATATTTATATCAAATTACTATTAACATATTAAGTGTTTTAACGCAACATGTTTCTAGAAACATCATGTATTGCAAATATCAATAAAAATATTAAAAATATTTTATAAACGTCTCGCTAGACTGCCAATTTGATATTTAACTCGTAATAAGAATAATGGATACCGGTGAGTTCGAGAAGCCGGAGTTTTTGTAGATGTCTGAATGATTTGCTCGGCACACTTGCGAGCTGATTGTAGGATAAATCGAGCTCCCATAACGATCTTTCGAGACCTAGAAAGGCTTCATCTGGAATGTCCGCCAGGGGATTATGCCTTATTTGTAGTTTGTAGAGACCTAAAATGCAACTCAATGATACACGTCGCGCTATGTAATTGAGTTGTGGATTCTTTACTGTTCCGATGTTATTTATAATTAGGAATATATATATATATATATATATTTATTTATTTAAATAAAACAATATATCAAATCGAGATATAAAAGTAAAGAATCCGTACATAGGCAGTTTTAATGATCTAACTCTATTATTACTCTAGCAACTGATTTTCCTGATTAAAAAAAATCGAAGAAAGTATCAAAACATTCAAAGAAACCCTTCCATAATTCTTCTTCATTTTATCTTCTTAGAACACTTCTACGTTCAGAAGATATATCTTATCGCTTAGAAGATCTTTTATAGGATCCCCAATTTTCTTCACTTTATCATCTTCTTAATTCAGCACTAATTTGCGTACTGGTGTTCATGAGGTACTGCGGCTGCAGGAACCTCAGTCCGTTGTTCTCCAGCTGTAGCATGAACATTTTGGAGGAATTGATCGGTTGCGGTATTCGCGGCATCGGCACGTTGTAGCAGGCGACGATGCCGAGATCCGGTATGGCCTTCGAGCAGGTGCAGAGCAGATTGAAGAAGCAGGGCGGATATTGAACCGGTAGCTCGTGCATCCGCACGACGGACGCCCACATCATCAGCAGCAGGATAATTATCAGCATAACGTAGGCGACCTTCACCAAAGTAAAGAGCTTCTGCAAATCATCGACATTTCGCACAATCGGACTCGCTTCGAACCAAGGTAGCAAACAGCAATGACATCATTAAACGTAAAAATGACGTCTTTTTGACGTTTAATGACGTCAGTTTGCTATCTGGTAAGGTATCGTGGAAGGGAATTAACGAATATATATATATATATACATATACAGGGTGTCTCGTTTTAATGTCCAACCCTAAATAAGTTTTTTATTTTTGATTGTAGAAAAAAATGTTTCAGACAAAAGTTGTATCCTTTAAAATGCTATGCTAGTAAAGTTTCTAAATACGATTAACAATTATTTCAAACGTGAAATTGCAAATAAAATAATTCTGACAGATGTTACCATGTCTTTTTACAGATTGCCTCCGCTAAAGTTTCTATCTTCGTATTCTTCCACTGACAGGTGATATCGAAGAATGAAACGACAAACTGATTGATCGCTCGCGACGATCTGGCGTTGCTCGCTCGCAGTTCCTTGCGCCGCTTTAAGACTTCGCTGACAGTTCCTGTGCTTCTTTTTACCAGATTACAAGCATGATATATTCCACTAGATGCGTCGATCGAATAAAGCCATTTAAGTCTACTCGCGGTCAGCAATTATATTTAACGAATTTACTACTGGTTAAGTAATATCAGTCGATTGTTCCAGTAATATAATATCTTAAAGGCAGTAGTAGTATAATTTTGATATTGTTATCTCTTCAGCTAGCACATAAGACCTTCCACCTAATTTCATCCACAGTTTTACTTCACGTCAGTAGAAAGAAAAGAGAAGAATCGTAGATAAAACAGCCATATATTTAGGCGAATTATAAAATTTCTTTTGTTTGCCATAGAAAAAAGAAAACGATACGTCTCAGTAGTTTCCAAGTTAACTGTTTTCTAGTAAAATCGTAATGTATACATACACACACGCGGCACATCGTCTCGATATATAGACTTTCACATTATGTAATTGCGTTGTAACAAGAAATATTTGTATATAGGTATGCATTTAATATTTGTATATATTATTAAAAACATCCATAAAAAATATCTGTCTTTGTTAACATGTCGTGGTGAAGATCAGAAGAAGACTACATTGTTTTGTGTGCGTTTCCGTTGCTAATCGCAGCCTCGGAGAGATCAGTCTCGGCCGACTGTTTTTTGTGCGCCTTTCGCGACAGTCCCAGAAGGGGTGGAAGTATTATCGCGACCAAACCCAATAAATGCGGGAACAGGTACAAATACCTGAGCAATAACAAGAAAAAGTGTATTAATAAAAAGAATCTTCCAACTAACTTATAACTAATTTATTATCTACGCTATGCTAAAGTCAATTAATTTTTTTGACAGAAATCAGTTGAATAAAGTGTCAATTTTATGATTCAAAAATTTTAAATAAAAATATGTTATAAAAGAATCAAAATAATACTGTAAGTAATATATGTTATAATACTTCTTAATATTCAAATATTTTTGACAGAAATCAGTTGATAAGTGTCAAAATATTAATCGAGTTTAAAGATATTATAACGTAGTATTTAAAGTGTATTACAATTATAATTTTTATAACATATTGTTTTAAAATTTAATTAGTTAAAATTATAATCAGCTGATTTCTATAAAAAAATCTTAATAAAGCGTTAATTTAATAATTAAATGTTAAAATAATGTTATAATACCTTCTCCGCGATTAATATTTTTTGACAAAAATCAGCTGATAAATGTCAAAAATATTAATCGCGTTTAAAGTGTTATAACATATTATTTAAAACTAAAACATGATATTGTTTTTAGAAAAGGAAGTGCCCGCTATACTTACAGGTACACTTTAATGCTTGGTATAAATTCTAACAGTATAAAACTGAACGTCATGTAGGCCATTACGATTCTCGTCGTGATGAACGTTAATATATCGTAAAGGATCTTCTTTCGTTGAGAATCCAGAAACAGCGGTCTGATGTGACGACGGACCTGGTGAGAAATGAGACGCGAAAATTAAATTATTTCATTTGTATGAAACAGGAACAACAAGGGATGTTTTTTACTAACCGAACGTGCCGCCATTGTGAAGAACGCCCCGCTGGCGAACGTTAGATAATAGCCAGGGTAGAAACCGTGCCAGAGAGCGGACAGGGCGTACGTATAGAGCACTTTGTTACGACCTGCTCGCTCGTACATGATCGATCGCAACCACAAATTTGTGCCCTTGTTCCAGCTTTCGATGCTGTCTCTGAGATTAAGCGATGTCTGGAAATCAAAATTTTAATTATTTCCATTTATTAGCACGTTATTAGAGATAAAATTTCAAGTTCAATATGTAAAAATCAAATGCGTTTATCATAGGTCTCATTTCCTAAAATTCGAATATTCATAAGAAATATTTCATATATATAGGGTGTCTCAAAAGTTCTCCAACAGTCAAATATCTTGAAAACAAAGAAAAATGCACCTACAATTTTTATTTAAAACATTTTTTAAGCTTTTGTTTTCGATATATTTGATTATTGCAGGACTTTTGGGATACTCTGTATAACTCGAAAAGGCTTTGATATTTAAATACAAATTTAAGTGTAAAAAAAACTAAGATTCCCCTATACTTTGTATTATTTTGTACATATATAAAATTAATATACAGAAAAAAAATTTTGTTAGATCTACCTGCCTGGTTCTCACCAGCCCTTCTCATACCTGAGTTTGTATCTTATAAACTGGAGAAGTAATTGAACTTAGAATAATTTTCTCGTTCAAATTCGAGTACTTTTTTTAAAGAAACTATCATCGGAGAGTTTGAAACCAGACTACTTAATCGCAATCACTGCGTGTTAACGACAGATCGTATCGCACCTCGAACTTATAAACGTCTACGTTCGATGCCAAATCCCAGCGTGCGCTGCCCCGTTCATCGTAACCGCTAAACCCGAGACCAGAATTGTTGCATATAGCATCGGCGAACAGCCAAGCGTGATAGTACTTGAAGCGTACGAGCATAGTCGTCAGCATTAAATACCATATTTTGTAAAGTATACTCGTGTTCTCCAGGAATTCGTCCTCTGAAAGCGAAAAATAGATCATAAATCGCAACATACAGGATGGGATGCTCCAAAAATCTTGCAACAGTCTCCAAGTAGCAAACTGACGTTATTTTGACATCAAATGACGTCATTCAACGTCAAAATGACGTCATTCAACGTCAAAATGACGTCATTTGACTTCTGATGACGTCATTCAACATCAATAAAATGACGTCACATTTGACTTCTGATGACGTCATTCAACATCAATAAAATGACGTCATTTGACGTCTGATAATGTCATTTGTCAAAATGGCATACGAAACGAACCTTTCACACGTTGTATCGGGAAAGTCGGGATAAACGTGATGAATACAATGGCGCATGCTAGACTCGCCACGACTTTCTTTATGACGACTAGAGTCGGTGATGGTTCCAGAACAATTTCTTTCTCTTGGCTATTTTTATCGTAGAAAGTCTAAAAAAAAAAATTATTTTTAGGTCTCGTTGTGTAAAGTCTAATTAAAAAATAAAAGTAGAATAATTGATGTAGTAATATCTAGTTGAAAAAAACAATTTTAATATTGAGCATATAATATTGTCCGTATATTATACTGTATACACTATTATTTTTACAACGTATAAATTTTTTTATTAATAAATTTTATATAAATAATTAATAAATAATAAATTATATCAATAATAAAATAGTGAAATTATATTAAACAACTATAAATAATAATTTATATTATATATATATATATATATATATATTTATTTATTTATATAAATAACAACTCTGGCAAATCGTGAACGTTGGCATCTTCGCAATTTATGACATTATTATGAAGCGATGTCGTAATTAATCTTTATTTTAAGAAAATATATGATATTCACGAATATCATGTTCTAAATAAATCATAAAGGATAATATATAGAAAGTTTTACATATAAATTTAATATTAACTCACAGCTAAGGATTTTGCGCCAGGTAAATGATGTCCGTGTATAAAATCGATATAATCTCGATAAAAAATCACTGGGCCAGCCATTAGGGCTTGAAAGTGGAAAATGTAGCTAAAGTATTCCAAAGTGGTCGGCATCTTCCTGTAAAAAAGAGAAATTAAAATTATTGAAACAGATACAACATACAATGCTTTCCGGAAAATAACACTTTGCAACCAATTATTATTTGAAAGACAAAGTGTTTCTAATAGATTTTTGTTGTATACGATGCTACAAACCAAATTTCACTAGCACGTGAAATTTCCAAACTAATTGAAGTTTTAATGTGTAAAATTTTGCGATATTTAAGATTTAAAAAAATCTATTTTATAAACAATACATTCATGATCGATATTCGATGTTCAGACTTTCCCGTAAATTTTTTTACTTCTGGATTCTTCATGTTAGATTGTGACGTCAAAGGCAAGAAAGCACACGTTGAAAATTCTTAGATGCCTTAGATCAATTCAAAATGAAAGGATATTTCGATGAAACACTATTTCCAGATAACTATTTCATCAAAATATTTTTTTATTTCGAAATATCATCTAAGAATTTTTAACCTGCGTTTTCGTGTCTCTGATGTCACAATTCCAACATGATCGGTAAGAAAACAGAAGCCTTTACTCAATTATTTCGGAAACCTGATTGCTAGCGAAAATTCGTTTGCGGCATCGTTTTTCCCAAAAATGTATATAAAAAAACACCCCAAGTAGCAAGTGTACGTTATTCGTCAAACAATTTTTTTTCATTATTTTAAACCATACAAGGTCCCAGGTAGCAAACTGACGTCATTAAACGTCAATATGACGTCACTAAATTTTTTAAATTATTTTAAATGAACATGACGTCATTTTGACGTTTAATGACGTCAGTTTGCTCCCTGGGACCTTGTATGGTTTAAAATAATAAAAAAAAATTAGTGTAAACGATTGCGAGATCAGGGACTTGGAAAGGTCTCTGTTAGATCGTTCTCTCTTCGAGAGAAGCTAATATTTCCGTATTTTAAACATTTTACACGGTTTTAACTTTGAGAAACAATATTTATCGATTCTCTTCTCTCCATCTCTTCGCTTTACATTCGTGCGATCGTGCGTTTCTTAAGCTGAAGGTATATAAATAACAACCGGGCTTAAAAGAGCACGTGTGCACTCACTGCACAGCCTGATGACGTTGCATCGGTGTCAGCTCCTCTTCGCGTCGCGTTAACCCGTCGTGAATGCTGTACGCGAGACTAGTCACTTTCTGCGTTATAACCATAAGAGGACCTGTGTGAAAAGAGGAGGACGTTTATTACAAAAGTAACCGTGTGTGCACGAGGGAGAATAATAAGGCGACTTATCGTGAAACGATACTTCGCTAGGGATATAATGGACGTTCTCTTAGACAATAACAAATGTTGCGTATACTAGTAGTTCAATAATCAATATCGCACTGAATGGACGATTCAACTACTCTTATAAAACATATTGTTCGTGAAGGGAATAACAGAAGACTTCGCTATTATTACAAGTATATAGTGTACATATATCTTTGGAGGAACTCAAGTGGGCGAAATTGATAAAGAAATCATGTTTGCGACCGAGAAAGATTATCTAAATAATGAAAATAAATGCGTCGCATTCGAGTGCAACAGATGCTTACATCATCGCGTTCAGGAAAATATGATGACAACATCGTGAATATATTTCTTACCGTTTCAATAACACGAGCACGCTTCAGAGCAATATAACATTTTTAAATAGAAAATTTGTATTTGAAAGCGCTAAATATAAAAGCAAGAGAGAGTATAAATCTTTAATATATGTTTTTTAATCAACGCAATAAATATATATTTATAATTTTAAATATATATTTATTTATGTATTTATATTTAATTAATTTATATAATATTATTATATAAATTACATATAATATATAAATGCATTACATATATGAGAGAGCAAATAGTAGAAAAAATATTTATTACATAAATTTCATATATATATATATATATATATATATATATATATTTTTGTATAATAAATATTTTCTTTATTGTTTGCTCTCTCATTTTACTCTTATTATTGTATGACAATGCTTTTTTTTAATTACTCATACACATGAGAGAATTATTATCTTCTCGATTATATTCTAATAAAGCCATCTGACCAGAGAAATAAAAAGTTCACATAATTATTCACGATTATATATGCTATATTTAATTGGAGCAATTTCTTCATTATTGAGCATTATTATTGTCAATCTGAGATCTCTATACGGAATAGAGTGACGCCGATAAATAATCTTCAAATGAAAGGAAGCGAATGGGGACGATTAAGCTGGACGAGATCAAAGAATGACGCACCGGTGATATCGAGGGTGTAGGAGCCGTAATCGTAGATCTGTCGGTGAAAGTGAATGCACGATAAGTAGATCAGCGCTATTGCAAGAACGACCCTGAAACATTTAAAACGAACGAGAGTGTCAAGTTCGTGCGATCGTGTGCCGTCATCGTTGATGACCGCGTGATTTATAGCGGGAGAGATCAAATGCGGTTAATGCGACGAGTGACGATTCAGTGTGCCATAAAAACAATGCAAATGATCGTGCAAAGTATACCTAACGACTCATCGTTATCGCTACTCAATCGCGTGTCCTCGTCGATCTAATAAAGGCATGATAACATATATATATATATATATAATTTATATAATAATATATTATATAATATATATATATATATATATATATATAATTTATATAATGTAATTATATAATATATATAACATAAAATATTATAAATATAATTATTTATGTATTGTATAAAATTATTATTAATATAATTATTTATATAATAATATAGTAATATAATGATTTATATATGACAATAAATTTTTAAAAAATTATAATTATTACAACGAAAGAGTTATTATTTTCTTGAGACTTCAATAAAAACTGATAACTTCTGACCAGAAATAACAAAGTTCGCATAATTATTCGCAATTATTCGCGATTATTTGCAACTATGTTAAATATCATTATAATCTCGATATAGGCACATCGATATGTATATTTATATTTCTATTCACCTTTGCATATTGCGTGGATTTTGTGTGCGCATTGCTACATAACATAATGCGGGAAGACTGGCGAGATGAATCGCTTGCCTGGAAAAATAAGAAAAAAAATAATATTAATAACAAGCAAATGACAAAGTATTTTAACGATGCAGAAAAAAATTGTAAAACGCAAAACGATGTTGTATTCTTACGTACTTATTTTACATAAGAACTGCTTATCAACGATATTAACATAAGAGAAAAAATGTTGTGAAAAACATATATATATATGTATATATATATAATTAATGGATTGAATAATTTGAGTAAATTGAATTACATTCAATCGATGTGCCTATATCGAGATTATAATGATATTTAACATAGTTGCAAATAATCGCGAATAATTGCGAATAATTATGCGAACTTTGTTATTTCCGGTCAGAAGTTATCAGTTTTTATTGAAGTCTCAAGAAAATAATAACTCTTTCGTTGTAATAATTATAATTTGAATGTAATTCAATTTACTCAAATTATTCAATCCATTATATTCAATTCATAAAATATATAATATATTTTAACAATATAACTAATCCAACCCTAATTTATTTTGTGTTATCATATAATATATAAAGTGTTACTATATGTATAAATTAATTAAATATAAATACATAAATAAATATATATTTAAAATTATAAATATATTTTTATGTTGATTAAAAAATATATATTTGCTTCCTAATTTTTAATATTAAATTAAATATTTGCTTTACAGTAAGACAAGTAATTTAATATTAATATAGGTGAAAAATAGATTGAAAAAATATTATCTCAACGAGTAATTCGAGAGTCTGAAATCTTTTTGAGTGACATTGAGTACTCAATATTTTATAATCCTCTTGTAACTTTGAGCCAAAATTCCCATGTGTTAAAATTCCCATTGCTATTTCTGCGTGCGTAGGCTCACCTGCCAAAACAAAAATATCCAAGAGCAAGGCCAATAATAAGGCCATAGACATGTCTGGCAGCTGGAGTAGCGGCGATGGGGCTCAAAGATGATCTTAATAATCCGGCTAGTATAAGTGCCGTGAATTGTGTCAAGACGAAATTCACCTGCACATAAAAATGTGTGTGAGATTGTATTATATTCAATTAATTAGTTATACAATTCATTATACATATATATACATATGCTCTAATTTTTATTATCAGATTTTTTATTGTCATATTTTTTATCATTATTATTATAATAATTATCATCATTATACTATTATCATTGTTCTTATTATTATTTATTATTATTATATTAGAGATGTGCGAATTATTTGAATTCGAATCGACGTAGTTCGAAATCGAAAGATTCGATAACGTCGAATCACTGCAATTCGAATTCGAATCAAAGAACCGCGTAAGAAAACTTAAAATCCGTTTAATTCTATACGCGTTGATGCGATTCGAATTCGAAACATGGGTGATTCGATTCGGCGATATTTTTGTCGATTCGATTCGAGTTGTTTTTTTGCAAATTCGATTCGATTCAATTCGAATTAGAAAATCTTGATTCGCACATCTCTATTATTATTACGTCATTCAATCATTTATTAAAATTTCTATATATAATTATATATAATTTATGAACTATAGCTTAATTTCTTGTCTTAAATAAATAATTTAATATAATCCAGGTAGAAATCTGCCTCGATTTGCCGAGATTAAATATAGGGCCTAGATAAAAAAATCCAGTTTAAAATATCTGTCTAACAATAAGTCCAGAATACACCCTACACCGAAAAATTGTATTCTAAGCACCAAGAGGATCTTCTTAATTTAAGAAATTTTTCTAAATTTTAATATATTTTTTTCTGAAAATATAAGAATAAATTAAGAATATTATCTTTTAAATATTTTTAAAAGAATATATGAAGCCCTGATTATTTCCAGACAAAATTTCTACCTGGGAAGTTTGAAAATGGTTAATAAATAAATTAATAAATTAGATCGATAAAAGAAACTATAGTAATTCCATTAAAAAAACAAATAACCTTGAAGAACGCCCTTTAAGTCAGTAATTGCCACGTCTGTCTTTTTCAAATCAAACTTTTGTTCGAAACATTTTGTTGTACAATCAAAAGTAAAAAAATTTTTGGGGGATGCTCGATTAAAATGGGATCTTATATATACATATATGTCTAATATATTAAGATCATTAGGGTATTGAAAGTAAGTGACTGTGTACAAATAGTCGAGAGTACGAAAAGAAAAGTGTTCCTTCCTCTTATTTATCTCTACACACAAATAAGAATATTATTACGCTTGATAATATGAAAATAAGGCAAAAAAAAATAAAGCCATTTCCCTTTCAGACTTCCCCTATTATTTGTTGCACGTTATTGAGGACATATCTAATTAAAGCAGCGGCGGTGTGTTTTTATATGTAAACATTCGTGTTATATAAAACGCGAGATATTACCCATTTTACTTTCGAGCTATCAATTTTTTTTTTTTGACATTTAAACGGTATAAATTTCTAACTCGAGTTCTGGATTTATTTCGCCTCGGAATACACCGTTGCAATTCTCGACGAGCGACGAAAGGTCATTGATCCCTCTGCTCCAGTGATTACTACACTCACGGTACTAAATTGGGATAGACAACATCTTTAAGTATTGAATTTGATTTGCAAAATTAGACGCGCTGTGCAGTTTTTTTATAGCTATTTATTATTAAGACTCATCATTTGTTATTTTATTGTACCTATGAAAGTGAAGGCGTTTCGAAATTTGCGAATTTAATTATTTGAAATTATTGCAACTTTATGTAAACAATTAATTCATGAAAATCAAGAAAGGAAGAACATTTTGTGTACATTCTATATATATTATTATATAGATATTAAATAATTAATTATATTATAGATATAATATTAATTATATTATATAATTAATTATGATATTAATGATATGATATAATTAATAATATATAAAGAATTTTTATAAACAAAAAAAAATTTCAAGATGCATCTTTTTTATGTAGATTTTTAAGACGGCCAAATTATTTATATACAGATTAGATAATTGTTCTTTAAATAATGAATTTTTATTCGCGAAATTAGATGCCTCATGCATTTAATATAATTAGCTTTTGTTATTTATTTGTTATTTAGATTAAGATTAATCTGGACTTATCACAATCGTCTTTTTGTGACTATAAAAGTGAGAGTATTTAAAAATTTGCAAATCAAATTATTTTAACTTATATATAACTTTATATGTAAATTGTTAATTTATATGACAATCGAGAAAAAAAGGATATTATGATATAATGAATAATAAACTGTATAAAAATGTTTTGGTTTAAAAAAATTTGACACATATATCTTTTTTAATGTAAATTAATTGTGGTAATAAATTAAAAGCAATGTAGTCTAGGCAAGTCTTAAGAATTCAGAAACTAGAAATTATAGAAAGGATGATACCTTAGACAATTTATCTTTTAATAAATAATACATAATAATATATTGATCGATAAAACAATTACATTATTTGCAAGATAATAATAAATAAATGATGAATGACATTAAATTTTGTGATAATTAAATATTATTATATTATCATATAGTATATTATCATAATAATATTATAAGTTATGATAATTAATTAAATAAATAAATAATTAAATATTAAAAATAAAATAAGGCAATATTAAATTTTAAATAACTTTATTTCTAAAGTTTGTATTCATTAACATAATAAACTCATCAATTGTGAGCCAAATATGAAGAAAAAGGGAATAATGTTATATTCTTCTAAATTAAAAAATTTTTTAATCTTAAATTTTTTAAATTTCTTAAATGTCTTTATTTTTATTAAGAAGCTAATCACAAAATAATTTTCTTTATAATTCGTTTTTTCTCCTTTATTTTATTTTTATTATATATATATATATATATATATATATATATATATATATATTATATATATATACCTATATGTATATATATATAATACATATATATATATATATATATATATATATATATATATGTGTGTATCTTTTTATTTTTAACATATTTATTTAATCTGATCAAACTTTGTTTTATTAGTTTTGCAGTGCGTCATTGAAAATGACGGAAGATGATAAAGGTTTCTCGTTAAAAATAGAGAACAAATTACACGGATAATACGCTTTTAATCGTTTTTCGGAGTGAAAAAATTAAATAAAAATATAAGCGCAGAGTTCATTTTAAGGCAGATTGCATATGATTACACACTACTAAATTCTAAAATCCTTCCTTAAAATGCAATCTTATTCGATGGAAAACAACGGTTCGTAAAAATTGTGTGCAAGACAGCGTAATGAAAAAATTCCTTCATGTCACGTGTTGCATTCGTTCAAGTTTTATTATACTCATATTGTCAGATACAGCGAATTTAAATCTTTAGAAATTATTTATGAGTATAATGAAATACTTTTCCTTTCATCGAGGGGTAATAGAATACTATTTTTTATGAAGACACATAATGTGTATAGCCGCAGAGAGAGAATCTAATGAATCTCTCACTTTCACTAATCCTTTCCTTAATTTTCTCGTGAACCTATCCGGATTGAAAAATTACGTCATTTGTAAAATTAATAGTACATAATGAATAATATTGAATTTTAAATAACTTCTAATTTAATTATAATAAAATTAATTTAATTAATATTTAATTTAATAAATTAATTAAATTAAATTAAATTAAAATATTAAAAATTTAATATTATTTTTTATTTATTATTAATTTTGCAAATTAGCTTATAGTTTTTAATTTTTCTGAAATACACTTGAAATGTACTAAGAAACACAAAAAATATTGTAAGAAACAATTGTTCAATTATATCTTAGGTAGAAATCTGCCTCAATTTGCCGAGATTAAATACAGGGCCTAGGTAAAAAAATCCAGTTTAAAATATCCGTCTAAGTCCAGAATACACCCTAGAAATTTACCTTTATTTTATCGAGGAAAAAAATCAGAAAAATCTGCATGGGTTCTAGATCGCCACTGACATATTTTTCCTAAATTAGAATAAATATGAAACTATATATGGGGCCAGGATTAATTAATCTAGCTTATAGAAATAATTATAATACAAATCGAGCAAATATTTAAAAAAATTATAGGTTCTAGTTAGACTCCAAATAATTTTTCTACAAATTCTGGGCGTAATCTTGAGTCCACCCGAATTCTGCGATAGGACCTGTAATGATTTAGGCGTCCCAAACTTTACACAGGTTCTAGTTAGATTTTTTACCTGGATTTCAGAAATATTCTTAAAAGTATATATGAAGCCCTGATTATTTCCAGACAAAATTTCTACCTGGATGCAACGACTTGCGAAAAAAAAGCTTTTCATGCGAATAGAATAATAGAACAATACCTGGGCCCAGATAGAAATTTTGTCTGGAAATAATCAGGGCTCCATATATTCTTTTAAAAATATTTTTTCAGTGACTGATGAATTTTCTTATCATATTTTTATATATTATCTTATATCAGATTTTTCTTATCATATTTTTTTCTCGGTAAAATAAAGGTAAATTTCTAGGGTGTATTCTGGACAGATATTTCAAACTGGATTTTTTTACCCAGGCCCTATATTTAATCTCGGCAAATCGAGGCAAATTTCTACCTGGGGCCTAACAAAACATTTATTTAAAACAAATAAATATTTATCTGTTTTGAAAAGAATTTTCTTAGATTTTTACATCAAATCAATACTATTAGTTTCGAATAAATGATTTATTAGGGAGTATTAAAATATTTATTCGAATTTATTATAATAAATTTTTTTTTCAGTGTAATAAATTTTACTATATACATAGTAAAATTAATCGAACATATTTTATATCTTAATATGGTAGATATTAATATTTTTATTATGGTAAATATATATTTGCGAAAATTTTAATATATTTTAATATATTTATTATATTAATTAATTAAATAAAATTAATCAAAAACTGTTTTGGGATTTCCAAAATTTGTTTATCTGATATATTTACATATCTTTCACTAGTATACGATTTTAAAAAAATTAAATGCTATAAATAAAAGTTTCAAAAACTTGTTGCATATTCATGAATCTCATCCTTTATACTTCTTTCAAAATAACTTGAAAACTTGATTCTCTGGACTCCATTAAGCATTAATATTAAGAAAGTGACAAAGAAAATGCTAACATTGATTCATAATATCTCATTTAAGAAAAGATCAGATCCTATTTAATTGTAAGGTAAATGTCTATGTATGTGTGAGCGAGACTAAGATGTAATTAATAATTAAGATAATTTAGAATATTTATTTATATTTGATAACCCGGTTATCAAACTTGAACCAATTTATCATATCGAGAATTTTGTTTACTTATACATATATGTATATATTTATGCGCATTTTTCTTATCATTTATGCGTTTTTCTTCCTTCTCATTTGCGCGTTATCTTTATAATTTTTTAAATATTTATAATCTTATTAAAAGATAAGCCGATATATCTCGCACATACACAGGGTGTCCCATTTTAAGAAACGCACCTCGATAATTTTTTAACAAAGCATTTTCAGCAAAAATGTTTCAGACAAAAGTTGTATGGTTTCTATTTAATAAATTAAATTAATTAAATTAAATTAAATTATTATTAAAAATTTAATATTATTTATTATTTATTATTAATTTTGCAAATTAGCTTATAGTTTTTGATTTTTCTGAAATACACTTGAAATGTAGCACGAAATACAAAAAAGTATTGTAAGATATAATTGTTCAATTATAATTAAATAAAATTAATTAAACTGTTTGAAGGGGGGGATTTTCAAAATTTGTGGAGGGAGATCATAAAATGATGCCATTGATATGACTTTGAAAAGTCATTTGAAGGTCACGTGAAGGTTAACTTTAATTTCTTAGATAGAACCATCTATTTTTCATTGTATTTTCTTGTAGCTTATCTCGAGAGCTTTCTAAAACCTTATAATAAAGTATATTTTCATATACTCTTTGAGCTATAAAGATTTGAAGCTAACAATTTTATGCCAAAATGTAAAATATCTTGTAAAATATTTAGTTTTTAGTAATCATACCTTATTACTTTCATACATGAAATATTGAGATCAATCAATTGGTACAAAGAAAACACATAGTTGCTTTAAAAAAAGGTGTATGTAATTTGTAATATATTTTTTTCAAACCTTTATAACTCAAAAAGTACTCCATACAAAAGTATTTTCTTATAGTGTTTTGGAAAGTTCTCGAGATAAGCTACAAGAATATACAACGAAAAATAGATGATTCCATTTAAGAAATTGAAATTAACCTTCACGCGGCCTTCAAATGACTTTTCAAAGTCAAATCGATGGCACCATCTTATGTCTCCCTCAAAACCATACAACTTTTGTCTGAAACATTTTTGCTGAAAATGCTTCGTTGAAGAATTATCGAAGTGTTTTTTAAAATGGGACACCCTATATAATTCATATAATTCATCTAGTCTCCTTGAGACCAATAAATACGCAATATTTCACAAATATACTTATATATTTTTTTATTTATTTATTTTAGAGGATTGAAAGAGATAAAATATATAAATTAATATTAAAATATTAAAGTAAAATAAGTATTTAAAAAATTATGCGTATGGCACAACTTTGTAACGTTTTAATAAATATTTTTTTACATACAAAAGTATAATACTGAATTATTAAAATTGAATTACTATAAAAATAATATAATTGTAATTCATAATTTCCTTCTCTTCATAATTCACCGTACTTTATGAAATTTTGATATCTGCTCAATATTTTGTATTTCGCGAGACAAAAAATATTTCAAACATAATAAAATTAGAATCTTATTTTTATATAAATAATATTAATATTTTTATATAAATTTTTATACATATTTTATGTACAATTATGTATATATGCACATTATATGTGTATATATACATAATTGTACATAAAATACACATATATATTATATATATACATACATATTTTTGTATATTTTATATATATATAATTTTTTACAGTGTCCCAAAAATTTGCAATACGTAATTTCATACATTTTTTTAGAAATATCTATGCATTTTACGTAATTGATGCTAATTATTCTATGCATAAAATTATTAAGATAATCAAAAACTAAAATATTTACGAGATATTTTATATTTTATACTTTATACTAAAATATGCCAGAATAAGTTCCATTTTTGACTATTTTACTCTCATATTTTATGCAGAAATGGATTCCAAAGAATCCATTTACGTAAAAGACTTACGTAAAACACTGGATAGTTTCATTTTAAAAAATCAAGTTAACATTGAAATGATCTTAAAAAGCGTTATCTCAAGGACGAACTGATTAGGCTAGTTAATAGATCTTTTTAAATCGTACAATAAAATCGTACAAATTTTATATAAACATTTTTCTATAAAATTTTTTGAGATATTTCCGTCCCTTTCTGGGACACCCTGTACATAAAATAGAAGAAATTAATTGCTTATACTGTAAAAAAAATTAATCGCTTGTTGTTTTCTATGTTGAATGTATGATAAAAGATCCAACGAGGAAAAAAAGAGACGCATACATTGGATGATAGAGAATTAAGAAAATTCGAGGTTGTCAGTAAACTTGATATTTACCTTGAATGTAATAATGAGCTTTCAAAATTACTCTAATTATAAAACAGAATGTACGATATTATATGTATATGTACGTGGTGACAAATTATATGTATATGTACGTGGTTCTCACTTTTTCAATTACGAAAATTTGTAGCATTAGTTCTACTTATCGCAAATTACACTAGTAAAAATAAATTACAGTAATAGTTTTGTCTTTTTCGTTGTTATATAAAAAAATTGCATAGGTATTTTAATTGTTAATCCGATTAAAATTTAAGAGATGTAATGCTGAAAAAATTTTATTTTTGAACTCCGAATCTGAAGAAAATTATTCAGATTTAATTAATTATTTAGTTAATCTCAAATCAATAATATTTAATCAGTGAATAATTGTAAAGCCGAAAAAAATAGAAAAAACTAGCGTAAAAATATCTTACAATTTCTGTTTATGTTATCTTTTTATGTTGCTTTGAGAAATTACATGTGTAATTAATTATTTATGAGAAAAAAATTTTGCAAATGCTTTTTATAAAATATCTTTCCTATAATTGCAAACACAAAATTAATTGCAAAAAACATGTATATCTACATAGAGAAAAATTTTAAACTTTGCATGTTTTTTTAATAAAATCTTATATTATATCATCTTTTCTATAAAATTATTCAAAATTAATTAAAATATAATATTAAATTATATTTTAATTATTCTATAATTTAAAAATACGTATAGAAAAAAACTTTTAATTTTACACATAAAATGTTTTTTTTAATAAAATATCTTTCCTATAATTGCAAACACAAAATTAATTAAAAAACATGTATATATGTAGAGAGAAAATATTAAACTTTGCACGGTTTTTTAAAATTAAAATTGCCTTTCCAATAAATCAACTGCGCAAAAAGATCGATTATATTCAAATCAATGCAACTGATGACTGTAAAAATATTAATAAATATAATAAGCAATATAATAAATAATTCAAGAAATTATCATATTCAATTACATCATTCAGAATGTGCGTCGCAATTATTTTCAAACACACGATATATTTTTGACAACACACAAAATATATATACATTAAAAAGGATTTTAGTTATTTTTAAAATACGCTTATAAAATAAAACAAATATAACCAGAAAAAAGGAGTCTATTAACAAAATCTTTCATCGATAATAAATTTACAATAATATTTTGCGCGAAAAGAGCGCACAAAACACACACAGACAAAAAAAGCGCAACAGAGAGAGAGATCCGTCTAGCGATCGATATCTCCCTGTTGCCGCCCGGGAATCTCGCCCGGAGGACGAAAATCATCATGGACTCTCTCGTCGCGAATTTTCGGAGATTTCCGGACCCTTACCTGGTCGATGGGCAGCCCGACGAAGTCCGCGAGCCAGGAGAAGGTGCGGAAGCCGTCGTAGTAATCGCGGTCCGTGATGATCGCGGCCATTGTCTCGGAAAGTCCTCGCCGTAAAATTGTTGTTGGTCCTCGTGGTGATAGTTCGCGCGAAAGTGTCACGCGAGTCGGACCACGAGGCGGCGGCGAGATCGAAGGGAAGGAAAAGAGGAGGAAAAGTAAGAAACGCGCGAGATAGGGGAGATAAATAACCCGACGCTCCGATCAGCTGATCGCATCTGACGTTTCCGCAGGACGCGCTCCGTACGACTGTCGCGAGCGAACTGTGAACGGGACGCGCGCCGGCTGCGTTGCCGGCATTATTTTGGCGTCGTTTCGTCATTTGGCGTGAGATGCTCACGTGCCGCGCCGTGGACCAATCGCGCGCAAGCGCGCCGGAAGAGAGCGGCTCGCGCGATATTAGCTGTCACCGTCAGCTGTCATCGCGCCGAGGACCGAGAGATCGGAATATCTGCATTGTGTAATCGATCTATATCTATGTCGTATAACGAATGACGAGTTGAGATGGGTCGGAGAGGTGCGTTATATAAAAATTAATATAATTACTATAAAAAAGTTAATATAAAAGATAAAATGCTGATCTTGAATTTAAAATACATGTTTTTTCAAAAATGATTTTATATTTACTTTTGAGGTTTTTTATTACCTATTTTTTATTTCGAGGTGCGTTATATAAAAATTAATATAATTAATATAAAAGAAATTAATATAAAAGGTAAAGTACCGATCTTGAATTTAAAATACATGTTTCTTCAAAAATGATTTTATATTTACTTTTGAGGTTTTTTATTACCTATTTTTTATTTCGAGGTGCGTTATGTAAAAATTAATATAATTAATATAAAAGAAATTAATATAAAAAAGTTAATATAAAAGGTAAAATGCCGATCTTGAATTTAAAATGTTTTTTCAAAAATGATTTTATATTTACTTTTGAGTTAAGAGTTTAACAAGGCTCTTTAATATAAATATAAATTTAAAGTGTAAGACAGGCAATAAGAGCCAAATCACGGATGACAGTGCGTTATCCCAACGAAACTAAAATTTTTTCCGTTAGAATTAATTACCTGTGCACAAGGCACCAAATTTTACTTGGTCACGGCCAAGATTTAAAATGGAATAATCTCTACAAGAGATTTAATTTCATACATCCCCTCTTCCCCCCTAAGGAAATGAATGCGAGAGAAAAATATAGATCCGAAAGTCGCTGAATCGGGAATCGAACCCGGTTCAAACTCATTTTGCACATCCTTTACTGCGATATATTTATACAGCCCTAAATTGCATGGGAAAATAAAAGGAGATTTAATTGCGCGAAAAAAACGAGATCGAAAAAATTAAAGATTATTATATTAAAAAAATTTATATGTATATCTGAAAATGCTATTATGCCTGGCAATATAAATAATAATTCATATAAAATTTATAAAATTTAATATAAATTAAAATTAAAATTAAAAAAAATATAGCATATTAAGTATAATTTATTAAATAAAATAAACTTAATAATATTATAAAATTTATATAAAAAAAATTTATAAAAAAATGTTTTTCTCTTTTTATTTTTACTCATATATGAATTGATAATATTTGGAATATTTTTAGTTTTAATTCACAGGAGAAAGGAAATTTGTAAGAAATTAAATTAAAAATTAAAGAAAATTAAATTTAAAAAATATATATATATAATGAAAAATAAAATTCGGCTCGTGTAAAATTAAAATAAGTTATAAAATAAAAGGTCAACTTAATGAGCTAATTAATTAGGTGTTAACAATTTATTCTACGTCATGAAAATAATACAAATGATAAGTAGTAAATAATTATGGTAATTATTTTCATGACGTAGAATAAATTGTTAACACCTAATTAATTAGCTCGTTAAGTTGGCCTTTTAATTTATAACTTATTTTAAAAAATATATATCTTATATATATTTATATAAGTTATTTAAATATTTGCAGTTCTAAATCGCGTAAGAATAGAAAAAAAGATTGATTAAAAAGAAAAAAAATCGAAAATTGAAGATTTAATTAAAGATATTATATATCTTAAATTGCTATTATTTTTAATAGTATAATAAACTATTAAAAGACTATTTGTTAATACACATATTTTGTTAATTTATATAAAAAACTTCTTTTTTTATCTCTTTTCCTCTTTATCTTTTATTTCATAAGTATGTATTGATTGACGGAATCGATTAAGAGATTTAGTGACGAAGATAAAAAATTATGTGTTTTCGAATTATGTAATACAGTTATTTAAATAGTTGCAACTTTTTAAATTTTAAAAAGAGAAGAATTAAAAAGGAAGACATCAGAACTTTTTATCGCGCGCGCGCGCGTAATTGTAAATTATTCTCTTTATCATAATATGACATTTTACATGCAAATACTTTTTTATGCGAAAATACATCGGTTTCTTTTTACATTAGACTCACAATCAGATGGTATAATTTTATATATCCATAATAGTAGATCAGACTACTTTTTACTGGCTAGTCGTCTAGGGTTTTTTTACTAGCTAGATCAGGTTCTTAACAATTTCATGATTAATCTCACACTTTTTAAAAATTGCATATTTATTTGATCGTTTCGATCAATTATTATTAAACTTAAAATTATTCGTGTAAGAAGATCCACCAAATTTAGAGTTTATTATTTAACACAAAATACAGTTTCAAATACTTGAATAATGCATATTATTAAACTTGATATTCTAGATATATAAATACATGGACATATAAATATAGGTCTTTGAAATAGTTGAATATTTTTTGTAATCAATAAGATATTTTCTTTCTTTATTTCATATAGTAATAGCAGATAAGACAAAGACAAGCTATATAAATTTAAAATTAATTATAATTTGCAAATTGAAATACATATATCTTTTAAGACAAGCTTGAATACTGAAAAAATACTTCGCATAATAAAGTTTTTTTTAATAAGTTTTTAAATATATTTGAAAAATAATTGACATCAAATTTTATTTTACTGCACAGGTACTATTTTTTTCATATACTCTTTTTTTATAATATACCTATATGGTATTTACATACATTTTTCAACTTTTATATATATATTTTTTGAAACATACAATTATACATACATATGTGTATATATATATATTTTTTTAGACAGGTCCTAAAATAATTTGTTAAAGCAGATCACAAAGATTTATGTTGTCTTAAACGACATATATATGATTTAATCATCTGATTGCACTCTATATCACTAACTTGACAAACATGCTCGCCTGATTAGATATACATATGTTTTTTCTTCTATTAATTGTTACAAAAATTATAAATGCAAGGAAATATAGAAAATAGAATGTTTTTCATTCATAACAACAGTAATTTTACTGTGAGATTCAGTAAAGAATAAACAAAAAAATATGATTGTGTGGATAATATATATATATATATATTCTTATACAGGGTGTACTAGAAAGATGGGTACCCTTGATTAACTTGAAAAAAAAAAAGTTTTAGACAAAAGTTATATGGCTTCAAGGGGAACTTTATCATAGTGATAAGCTACAAGTATATGCAAAAAATAATAGCTTCCATTAAAAAATTGAAGGTGAACTTTATGTGACCTTTAAACGGCCAAGGTCAAATCTTATGTTCTCCTTCAAATTAATCCAGGATACCCATCATTCTGATATACTCTGTATACGTATATATTTTATATATTTTGTTATATATATAATGTTTATGATTTAAAATTATAAAAAATTTTTAAGGGATACCTTTTACGTAATTTTCGAGCACGTATTATCGTCATTTCTCATATTTACACTGTACATTATTTAAACAATTTTAATACTTTACACATTTTGTTAAGTATAAGACTTTTTGTGCAATTTATATTAAATTGTAACCGACTATAATGCCATCAAATAATAATATGCGATAACTCAAAAAGAAAGTTAGGCTAAGTAATGCTTTCATAGCGTACAATAAATGTATTGCCTTGTCATAAGTAAATATATTATAACTTTTCTAGAGTTAAATTAAATTAAATTACTCTCGACTATGAAATCAATTTAATGAAATATATTCATTGTCCAAAAATCTGCCAATTCAATAGGCTTCTAACATAACGTAAATAATTATTTAATAAACTTTCTTTTAGATCTTTTTAAACTGAAAATAAATTTATCTTCCAATAAAAATTTCATTAAATTTAATTACATAGTTGCATACTTTCATTTCTAAAAAAAGTATATCGAGTACTCTTTTTAGATCATAAATTTTTTAAGTTATACCGGCGGGGGAGGCATTTTAATATCCACCCCAAATATTTCACTTCCTACGCTTTTTACAAAGAGATGTTTCCTACAAAAGTTGTATGTTGCAAATTACATATTTTCTTTTAAAAACAATTATGTGTTTTCTTTATACCAATTAATTTTTTTCATTATTCTGTGCATAAAAAAATGAAGATACCGAAAACTAAAGAAGGATATTTAAAAAAGTCGATTTTCCGACTATCGATGGAACCTAAAATTCGAGTTCCATGGTTATCTATGAACCATATAAAATGTAGAAATGATGGTTAGATTGAAAATTCATCAATGTCGTCGACTTTAGTTGTCATTAGATCGATCGAATGACGCTATTTTCAATAGTTTTGATAGATTTTCAATACTTTCCCCAGGTTTCTAAGAAAAAAGGCCATCATTTTTACATCTTATATGGTTCATAGATACTCAAGGAACTCGAATTTTAGGTTCCATCGATAATCGGGAAATCAACCTTTTTTAACATCTTCCTTTTACAAGATATTTTATATTTTATGTAAAAATATTGTAAACTTCAAATCTCATAACTCGGAAAGTACTTAATAAAAAATAATTTTATTATAGTGTTTTGGAAAGCTCTCGAGGTAAGAATATGTAATGAAAAATAGGGGTTTCATTTAAAAAATTCAAAGTGATTTTTGTATCCTTGATGGTGCTATTCAAGGTTATATTAATATTACTGTATTATGTTCCCCTTGAAACCCTACAACTTTTGCAGAAAACATTTTTTTTGTAAAAGGCGTAGGAAATGAAATATTTGGGGTGGGACATTAAAATGGCCTACCCGGTATAAATAAGATTTGTCTTATTCCCAAAATTTAATAAGCTAAAGCGCCTTTACTAACAATAAGTGCAGAATGCACTGTTAAGAAAAAAATTAAGTTCAAATTCAATAGGCGATCTGAAACTGGCAGATAATATACATATATACATGACATACATTATTGTGCATGATAATATATGACATGTAATTGCACCCTAAACACATTACGTTATTTCATTTTATTTTTATTTTATATAGCTTGAGCTTGAAACCGAGCAATTCGGAGAGTATTCCTGAGAGTGCCGATAGCAATACTACTTTAGTAATAGTGTACAGATACGGATTAGCTGAGAGCCCGGAGATCTTGAACGGACTCTCCAATTCCTATAAAGCATCCCATTGGATTAATTCATTTATATTAGCCATTTAAGGCTTCTGGATCATTTGTCAGATTGTGACGTCAAACGCTGAAAGTTCTTAACGTGTTTTCTCGTCTTCTCGACGTCACAATTCCAGGAACCAGGAGCCTTAATCAAGGTGTATACTCAAATCTTATAAATAAATTTCATGATTTTCCAGATACTTTTGTTCAAAATTCAAAGTAAAATAAAAGTATTAAAAAAATTTTTAAATACAATTTTAAATTAAGTTTATTTTCGTTATACATAATTTTTTAACGAAATATTTTTTCATATAATAATATACTATTATATTTTGTAATAAAATATATTTTAATATACTTTATATAAACTTAATAAATTTTATATTCTTTAAAGGTATATTTGAGAATAAAATAAAAGGAGCAATTTTTACAAAAATTATCCGAATTCGAAATAAATTCCACGAGTATTCCAGGATCTTTCAAGGTAGAAAAAATTCCCTGCGAATTTCAGGTTTTCCAGGTTTTTCTCGGGAGTATACACCCTGCTTAATCGAAAATTTGCGACGAAAATACATACCTTTATCAAGTCAGCTGCTAATTTCAATACGCTGTTCGCGACCATAAGTTCTTCCTTCTTATGCGGCTTTTGCTCAATTTGCAGGTACAAATTAATCTGAAAGATAATTGAAAATTAATAAGTGAACGTAAAAGAAAAAAAAATCTCTAAAATAAAAATGCGAGTACATAATAGTAAAACTTACTTGTTCGGTTATTAAAACTGAGAGATTTCTATACTTCTTGTTAATTTTTGTCCCTAGTGTCATAAATCGTAATATAAATATCCCAAGCGAGAAGCTCCAAAATAATGCTTCAACGTTGTATCGTGAGTGTAGGCTTTCAAGATCCTAAAAAATATATGATTTACACCGTGTTGAGAGAAAATTAAAAAAAAATGTAAAAGCAAATCTGTCAAAAAATATATATACTTACTTTAATCAATTCGAGACTTACGAATGACAGCAATAATATCGTAACGATAAATACTGCCGATACAATAACGTCTACAGATCGTTGCGGCCCCCTTCGCTATAACGTGACATTGTCAAACAATGAGTATGCAAATGTGACCATTTTTTATTTAAAGCGTTTAGTGTAGTTCTTACTTTCAGATAAGATCTAACGCTCAACCACGTTTTTATGTTGCGCACTTTGTTCAAGCGAAAATGTGGCAGATCGGATTTTTGCGCACGCCTAGACGACGTTAAGTGAGAAAATAACTTGGCGTACAAAAGTCTCTGTTTGTACGTTCGTTCCGCAACTGCGAGCAAGAAGAATAAAAAGCACGACAGCATAAGTCGCTCGAACGTCGAAATAAGCACAAGTGTTCGTTCCCTGAAAAAGAAATTTAATTATTATAATTAATAATAATGAGTTGTTGAAATAATCGACCAAAACTAGCAAATAATAAGTTTATTAAAATTCACGACAATTGTTAATAATAATTAAGATTTGATTAATAATAATATTATAATAATTTAAAGTTTTCATTCTTTAAGTAATTGTTAGGTCTACAAGGTGTCTACGCAAATTTTGTGAAAAAAATTTCCTTATCTTCCAGTTATTTTTATTCAAAACTCCATGTAAAACTAAGAAAATTTGATAGACAACTTTTTAAAGTAAATTTCGCATGTGCTTTCTAATGTTTTTTATTCATACGATTGAAAGAAAGTTATCAAAAATGCAATTTTTGCTGCATTTAATATTGTTTTATTAGTAAAATTAATTTAAACAATAATAAAATGCAATATTTCACTATATTTAAACGCTAAAGATATACGCAAAAATAAAAATAACAAAATAAAAATATAAATAATATTGATAAAAAAGAGCTATGACGAGTATAAAACGAGGATGTGATTTCGTTACTTATAATTTATTACAATAAAAATCTGAATAATATCTGGACGTTTCGACCTTTTTTTGGGCCATCTAAAAATACAAAATAAAAAATAATTTATTATAATTAATTTAAATATTGATAAAAAAATTAAATATTATTAAAAAACTATATAAAAAGTTGAACAATTTTCTGACATAAGACTTTGACACTAACAATAAAAAGAAATTAATAAGATTTTACAGAAACTTAAATATTGCAAAAATAATCAGACAGTTTTTGAAAAAATTTGAAACTGAATAAAATTCTCCACGAGAATTTTTTAATGTTAAAAAAAACCTTGAAAATCTCTGGTTTTTCCAGAGCATAAACACCCTACCTTAGTTTTTTAATGAGACAATAATATATTTTAGTGAAATATTCCTCTTACGAGAAAGTGCTTCCAAACGCCATGCCAATTATTTTGCAGAAAATATCGGTGTAAGTTTCCAAGTTCGCTTGAGTCATGTCACTCGGCAATAGGCTGACAGACACGTTACTAATATTAATATCCGATCCCATGTGATCGCTCAATCGTTTTATCGACGGTATCAAACATAGAGCGATGCTAAGTATCAGACCGCCGTAAAAGTAATTCATGCTCTCCGGCATAGATTCGACTCTGGCGATGATCGCCGAACTGATGTCCAGCACTGACAATTCCGCTTTCTTGATGTCACGCCGCGTCCAAATCGTACACGAAACTACACACACGAAGTGTGAGTACAAATTAAAGATTACATTATTAAATCTACATATTTTTATTAGTAGGCTAAATGACACAGTTATGTGTACAGGCAATCTCACATTTTTATATCAATTGATTCTTTTCATTATTTTATGCATAAAAGTATTTAAGTAAGATCGTCGAAAAATGAATATTTACGAAATATTTTATAGATTATGCAAAATTATGTCAAATTTAAATATAAAATATCTCCTAAACTATTCATTTTTTGGCCATCTTGCTCTTAAAACTTTTTATGTCGAAGATGTGAGGAATCGTTTTATATTGAAAAATGGTGGTTTATTTTAAAAAACATAAATGACCTTCAAATGATCTTGAAAAGCGCCCTTTTCAAGGTCATTCGTTCTTTTTAATGAAGCCACTATATTTTTTTTATATAAAACGAAAAAATAATTTTTGGGGAGATGATCGATTAAAATAAAACATCCTACATATATATGCAATTTGTTTCTCATTACTAACCACGATCAGACGATGTGCAGGTAGAATTGAGTAATATCGAAGGCGGCAACTCGAACTCCCAGGAGACAGGGTGCTCCACAAATTCTCCATAATTAAGATTGGTCTCGCTGGCCAAATCAGATTCCCCGAGTTCTGAACTGCAATAATTTCGTTTCAGAACCTATATAATCCATCGAAAAGAAAAAGAACTATATAACTCGTTGAGCAAATATATTTAGGTCTCACACCTGTAACTACAATCGTCGCTATTGGTCGTCACTCCCATATATTCTGTAGCTGAAGTTGTTGCCTCTGTGAGATGATGCGTCGTAGCTTCCTCGCATTCGCCCTCCTCTTCGCTCTCACACTGCTGCCGCGCCTCTCTCGAGCCCAATATTTTTGATGGCGCATTTTTCTCCTTAATATAAAATTAATAATATTAGCAGAATCAGCAAATCAATACCGAGATCTGTATAAAATCTAAAATCAGGGTTGGGTAATAACTAGTTAATTAGTTAAAAATTATTAACTTTTAACTTAGCTTAGTTAATTTAAAATGTATTAATTTTCAACTAGTTATTTTTGACCATAAACTTATATTAATTTTTTTCAAAGTTGAATTTTTTTTATCTCTGAATACCAGTATTTTTTTATAAGTTATAAACGTATTATTTTTAAATTAAGTATTATTAATTCTTATATTCATTTAATTATTAAAAATATATTTCTATATAAAAATCAAAATATATTTCTTTGCTATTTGTTATTATACATTTTAAAAGAATTAACAACCAAAATTCTAATTTAATATAAATAATGTTTTTTAAAATTAACTTTTGATTTAACTCCAATTAATTTAACTTTAATGGAGTTAATTGTTCATGCAAACTTTTAACTTAACTAAATTAATTTATAAAAATAAAAAAAATCATTAACTTACCCAACCCTGCCAATAAAAAAATATATACATATATTTAAAATTGGCCTATTTAAGAATTAAGTGCGATTGTAAAAAAAAATATAACGTCCTTAAAATTTATATCTAAAAAAAATATATATATATAGAAAACATAGACTACCTCAATACTGTTGTGAATTTTGCTCTTATTATCCGTAAAATTGTCATCATTTTTTAATGGGTCGGGTGCTGCGTGGAAATTGGAAAACGATGATTTAGCTATTACTCCATTTTTTACCTTTCCAACAAAGATTAAAGCGTGTTAGCGGTTCGAAATGCAACTAAATATAAAAACAAATGAAAAGACTTCTCATACAATATATATATTGTATATGAAATCCTAAAAAAAATCGAAAGCAAAGCACTAAATGTAACTTTTAAATTTTCAAACAAGTCATGCATTTTATATTTTGTTGTGCATCACCATGAATTTAAAATAGCAGGGTGTCTACTCAAATTTTGTAAAAAGATTCTTCGAGAATTCCTTGATCTTCCTGATATTTCGTTAAAATTTCAGATAAAATCAGAAAATTTGTAGATGCAGCTTTTTAATAATTCCTTTATTGTATACGCTTTTTAATATTTTCTATTCATATGATTAAAAAGTTATCAATTTATCAAGAGTGTAGTTTTTTTAGCATTTATATTGTGTATTAATTATTAAATTAATTTCGTTTATACTTAAAAAATATTAATTTATTTAAATTAATTATTTATTAAATTATTATGTAGTTAATTATTATAAGAATAATTTATTTAAATGTTACCTATTAAAAATTGAACAATTTTTTATGAATTTTACATAAGATCTTGATACTAAAAATAGACTATCAATAAAGAAAAATTATATAAAATTTTAATAAAAACTTAAATATTGCAAAGATATGTTAGACATATATTTTTTAAGTGCTAAATAAAAGTAAAATGATCAAAAAAGGCAATTTAAAAAAAAATTTTCTAAATCCTAATTAAATTCCATGAGAATTCCCTGATTTTCAAGATAAAATAAAATTCCCTCAGAATACCAGGTTTTCAAGATTCTTCCCAGGAGTGTACACCCTGAACAATTAAACCTTTATAATATTAATTTTGCAAAATATTAATTACTTGCTTACAAATTATTTTGCAAGTGTGTACTTGTAAATCAAACCTGAGCATTTTGGTGGACTTGCTGGAACCTGTTGACTAGGACTGTCTTCCGACCAGGATAATGTGTGATCTTTAGTTTGTTGCACCACTCCTTGCCTTGCTAATCTATTTCCTTGCACTTTGTCATTGTCACTAGAAACATTACCATTTAAACTCTCAAAGCCATCATCGTCCTGATGCACATTTGCCACATGTTCCTCTGGCGTATCATCTATTGCAGAGATAGAGAAATTCAGAGTCTCAAAATTACGAATTTGCAGGAAATAAATAGTAATATTTCTACCTGGCTGTTCATAGTTAGCTGAGCTTTCACTCGGAGGATTAGAATTTTCTCCAGTTGTGCTTATCGCTTCTTTGTCAAACGCTACTGACATTTGCTGATTCCTATTATGGTAAAGAGAAAAAATATATATATGTGTATGTGTATACATTTTTTCAAAATATCACAAATTTGAATCAATTAGTACTCACTTGAATCTGATTAATGGAATAATTTGAAGAATTTTGGATCACCACTTTTTTAGCAAATCTTACTGCGGGTGAATACTTCTTCACTTCCCGTACTTGCCTTTTCAGAGGCAATGTCTTGAGAAGATTTTGAGTCTT